TGAAATCTTTTTTGGCATAAGAACAGCACAGGTTAAAACCAGGTGTCATAACTATTAGAATTCTTTTAGAACTTTTTAGGAAGTTTACGTCTGGCCGAGCTGGAAGTTCCAGTTCCTTGAGAAGTATGGGAATAATTTAATGGTGCATTGGTTACAGGACGATAAGCCTGTGTAAAATGGGTTGAAGGTTACTGGTTGTAGCAGATTTAGCCGGGGAGGGGTTTCTTGTAAGGAAATTGGGATAATTGGATTTGTAGGACTAGGTCAAGTCTAGGGATCTATTAAAATATTATGAGAGTCATATCTATGTATTTCTGTACCTTGCCTTGACTAATTCTGTCAGTTTGAACAAAATATCCGAGAGTTTGAATAAGGCTATGGATTCATTTTTAGAAAGCAAGGCTCTTTGAACATTTGGGGTGAGTCAAATAAAAAGGAAATCCCTTTTTATTTTTTTTAAGTACTTCTGCATGCAGCACTTCTCCGATCTAGGATGTGAAAGCCCAATTAATAAGCTTTCTTGTAGTAACATAATCATTCAAATCACTCATCGACATCTACTGCAGTAAAATGAAACCATGTCGTATCCTGAAAATGATATCAGAATAATCCCATGCGTCTCCGGGTAGCCAAGTAGAAGGCAGGGCAAGACTATAAACTCTTGACATTATAAAGCATGTTATTTTAACATTGGAAGCAGAAGGTGTTAAAATAAAGGTTATGATAAGTGCCAGGTATCATGGTTATGAGAGTCTTCTGATTTTTGTTTTGTTTTGGCTATGAGAATTGTTTTCGTTTTGCAGAAATATCACTTACCTTTATGGAGTACCGAAGTGTGACGTCATTTAGAACCAGAAAGTCTAGCGCAAACAAATGGAGTGTGCGCGCGTGTTGTTCACGGGCTGAATTACGCGCTTATGTCTTTCACACACAATTTGTGCGCGTGACGTATTCACTTCCGTACTCCATTGTGATCCATGGACAAAATTTTAAAACTGTGTTTCTGTTTAAAAGTCCATAACTGCAAAACTATATGAGCGATATGAATGATTCTAAAAGAAAGCTTATTAATTGGGCTTTCATATCCTAATTCTGAAAAGTGCTACATGTAGACCTCTTTAAAAAAAAAAAAAAAAAAAAAGGGGGGGCGCCGTGTGGGTTTCCTTTTTTACTTACCCTGTAGATACCCTGTTCTTGTCCAGTTTAATATCTGAAACTATCAAATTAATCAAATTATTGAAAAATTTATGTACATGTATGTAAACACACAGCAAATTCCAAGTGCAATTTGCATCACTTGTATCAGTAGTTCAGCTGGGTCGCAAACTGAGTCGGTCTAGAGTTCAAAAATAAATCTATGAATGACTACAGAACAATGAAATCACAGGGACGGATGCACATTGTATGCTGTATGCACTTGACCTTCCGACCTCACACAGGGGTTGAAATGGTGGGGAATGTGCAGGCATGGCACGCTTGATTTAAAGGCATTACCGCGGCCAACTTGCGGTAAATGCTGCTTTTAACAACGTGACATTTACTAACACGAGCGGAACCGAATTGTCTAAATTAAGGCTAACTCCAGCTGGGCCAACCAGTGAGTGGTCTAATTGAAAATTTAAAGGATCCTCTAAACCACAAACGGCAAGCAAAGTTAAAGTAATTCCATTTTTCAATTTATGCGCTGTATATTTTGTATTCCTAACAATTCAGAAATGGGCTGATTTGGGTGTCTTGTCGGCTGTAATAACCATCATGCCAAATACTTTCCTTGGACGAGATCTGCAATTTTGATAAGATTCAATAACGCAGCTATAATAACTGTTGCCCGGAGCACAGTGTCCGGATTTTTGTGATTTGCAGCGAGCGGCTTATTTTGCAACAGTGTCAATCTGTTCACAACAGCCAGGTTTTTTAATCCCTTAATCCCAAAGGATACTGCAACACAGGTTGTCCTGTGTAAGTTCCGGAAGTCTCGAAGTTGGAAGTTGCAAATTGGGTGAAGTGAGGCCTGTCCAAGACAGGGTTCCTGTTTTCTTCGTCTTCGGAAAATTCTCACTTGTTCTTTGAAGTTTTACTCCTTGGCATTTGTGCTAGGATGCAACCTCAATCCTGCAAAATCCTCCAACTGCCTCCACGTAAGACCACTGCCTCAATCCTGCAAAATCCTCCAGCAATCACTGTCAATATATTGAGGCAGTGCCAGTGACATCCTGGAGCAGTGCAGAGGTTTTTAAATGTAATCTAGGCCTAAATTTATACACGGCTGAGCATAGACAACACAAGGTCCGGCCCAAGACCTTGACACAGTGCATCCTCCAAAATCAGCCACACATTTTTCCCATAGCCTCAATCCTGCCAAATCCTCCATTTTGCAAAGAGAATTTTGGAGGATTTGTGATGGTGAGGGCTAAGATACATTTACCACTCGCCTTATTTCTTTAATATAAGTAAGTTCTTAAACTAAATTGCAGGTCTGTATGCGACAAGCTACTTCCAAAAAATAAAATCAAGCATTTTGTTAGTAATGAGATGCCCTTTCTATCTAAAACAATATTTTGTGATGTTTCTTCAAACGCTTTTAAAATTTGAAGAGTTGGCAGGACATGTTTTACTCTCAAAATTATTCCATACTTGCACATTTAATTCCTTCCAGCTCCTGTTTGACAAGGTGTAACCTTAACTTCCCCACACAAGTGCAGTTTGTTTGAACAACTGTTTTTTCGCATAAATTCACTTCTTTATCGCCGTCAGGGGAAAGAGAGTAAAAAGTCCAACAATTGGGACAAAGCCATAAGGCATTAGTTGAGACGTTTTCAGATTTCAGCCTGGTCGTTGAAAGGTTTTGAGGAACTTGACTGTAAAAACGGCATCCCTGGAGTAACATCAAAACAAGTTCTCTACCAGACCCTGTCACGCTTCACTCCCGAGCTGATAAATTGTCAAGTGTCACGCCTGGAGTATGTAGTTAGTGTCACACTGATCACCGCTGTTAAGGCCGATTTTTAATTAGATTGCAAATCAATTTTAGCATTAGGAGGTTTACGGCTCGAGTGTTCTGCTTTTTCTTTTCTTGTGTATTTGAAGTGATCAAGAGTTTCTGTTAAAATAATTGGGGCCTGGGGGTAGCCGGGTATGAAATGGAGGTAATGTATGTCAATGACCTGCAGGGTCAAGTTGAGGTCAACTGGTGTTGTAGACTTGCATGCAATCTCGTCTTGGATAAACCTCTAGATAAACTAGAACTTAAAGGTAAAGTTACAACATTTGAAAACTTCAAAAAACAAAACTACCAAAGTATTATGAAATACCTTTGACTGTTGGTGAATAACAGTCTCAAGCATCATTAAAATCATGGCACCTGGTGTGCTGTCATATTCAATTTTTGGAATTTTTTGTATCAATTTCCAACGATGGTCAGCTGTCCATTGTTGAAAAAAAAAACTTCAACTAGAACTTATAGGTAATATACAACATTTGCAAACATCAAAAAACAAAACGACCAAGTTAGTATGAAATGCCTTACTTGACTGTAAGTGAATAATAGTCTCAAGCATCCTGTGAAATCACGGCACCTGGTGTGCTGTCATGTTCAATTTTTGGAATTTTTGTATCAATTTCCAACGATGGTCAGCTGACCATCGTTGGAAAAACTGAACTGAAACTAATTAAAGGTATTATACAACATTTGCAAACTTCAAAAACAAAACGACCAAATTATTGTGAAATACCTTACTATACTGTTGGTGAATAATAGTCTCAAGCATCCTGTGAAATCGTGGCTCCTGGTGTGCTGTCATTTTCTAGAAAAGTGGAACTTTTGTATCAATTTCCAACGATGGTCAGCTGACCATCATTGGAAAAAAACTGACATTTTTAAAATACTGCCCCCAATTTATCAAATGCAGTTAGTCCACATTTTGTTTCAATTGGTTACACATCCGATAATGGCTCAGGCCATTATCAGCGTCCAGACTCCAAGCCGGTTTCAAATGTACTTGTTAAAAACAGGCCAAGCACATATTTAGTCCCTTTGAGTTTTGTAGTAAACCTTTGCAAATGTTTGCGTCCATAAAAGCATGAAGGCAGTGTAGGGACAGTGCCACATGCTGCAAGGCATCATTGGAAAGGTTACTTAATCGCCATGGAAACAGTGGGTCCTGAAGTAACCCAGAACTGTCACTCATTTGTTTCTGTGTGAGAGGATACAGGGCTCTAGACTAGTAATGAAATTAGGGAATGAATTTTGACAGTGAGTTATTGATACATTCATGTATGTACATGTAGTTGCCTATGTAGACAGTTTGTGACCTTTGAAGTTAACGTGCGGAATCTTTCAATTCCCGATGAACTTGCCAAATTTCAAATGTCAACTGTCAATACCCTTTCTCCACTAATATATTTGTCAACTTATCATCAGGATCTAGTTTTCCTAGCGACTACCGTTCTTCCGAAAGTCTGAAATGTTTCATGGGTACTTTCCTTACAGACGGGAAGACCTACTTTCTCAATCTTGAAATAAAACACTGTAAAATATACGCTTAGCCTACTTTTATTGCTTCTGTATTGTAAAACAAACGGCAGATCATTTGTTTCATGTCTTGACAAACTTCGTTTAAACATTCGTGAACAAAATATATTTTAGATCATTAAAAGAGTTTAGCTACATTACCTGTAGCAGTTTTGTTCCCCACAAACTATGGAACCGTTTCGTTTATTCCGTTATACAAAATTGTGATTGGTTGTGGTACCTGCTGCTATATCAGATTTGAACCAGTCAGCTGACCCCAACAAGCTCGGTGGTCGAGTGGTACAATGTCTGCACTAGTAAGCAGGAGGTCGTGGGTTCGAGTCCCACCAAAGTAACCATGTGACACTAATTTCATAAAGTAATTGCAATTTGACGCTCTGATGCTACAAAACAGTTGAGATTGATGTGAGGAAGCAATATTCTTACTAGAATGATCATTACTTTCTTCTTTTGTGCATTTTTTGTCCAGAGATTTGCGGTTCAATCAAATCGCAGAGATCCCGCCCGGTGCATTCTCCAGTCTGACAGCACTCAACACTCTCCTCCTGAATCACAACAACATCAGGAGGATACCCAGAGGAGCGTTCGATGGACTGCATCATCTTAAGTATCTGTGAGTATCTCCCCTCGCTAACAGTGTTGTTGTTAAATACTTGTGATGGATCACAAGTCCAGTCACAAGTCCAGTCACAAGTCCATCACAAGTCCAGTCACAAGTCCAGTCACAAGTCCAGTCACAAGTCCATCACAAGTCCAGTCACAAGTCCAGTCACAAGTCCAGTCACAAGTCCAGTCACAAGTCCAGTCACAAGTCCATCACAAGTCCAGTCACAAGTCCAGTCACAAGTCCAGTCACAAGTCCATCACAAGTCCAGTCACAAGTCCAGTCACAAGTCCAGTCACAAGTCCATCGCAAGTCCAGTCGCAAGTCCAGTCGCAAGTCCAGTCGCAAGTCCAGTCACAAGTCCAGTCACAAGTCCAGTCGCAAGTCCAGTCGCAAGTCCAGTCGCAAGTCCAGTCGCAAGTCCAGTCGCAAGTCCAGTCGCAAGTCCAGTCGCAAGTCCAGTCGCAAGTCCAGTCGCAACTCCAGTCGCAAGTCCAGTCGCAAGTCCAGTCGCAAGTCCAGTCGCAAGTCCAGTCGCAAGTCCAGTCACAAGTCCAGTCACAAGTCCAGTCGCAAGTCCAGTCGCAAGTCCAGTCGCAAGTCCAGTCGCAAGTCCAGTCACAAGTCCAGTCGCAAGTCCAGTCGCAAGTCCAGTCGCAAGTCCAGTCGCAAGTCCAGTCGCAAGTCCAGTCGCAAGTCCAGTCGCAAGTCCAGTCGCAAGTCCGGTCGCAAGTCCAGTCGCAAGTCCAGTCGCAAGTCCAGTTGCAAGTCCAGTCGCAAGTCCAGTCGCAAGTCCAGTCGCAAGTCCAGTCACAAGTCCAGTCGCAAGTCCAGTCGCAACTCCAGTCGCAAGTCCAGTCGCAAGTCCAGTCGCAAGTCCAGTCGCAAGTCCGGTCGCAAGTCCAGTCGCAAGTCCAGTTGCAAGTCCAGTCGCAAGTCCAGTCGCAAGTCCAGTCGCAAGTCCAGTCACAAGTAACATAGATGAAAAAAAAAAAATGTAAATTACATGTAATTATTCCATATTTAAATGTAGACAGATTTATTTTTTCATTGTCTCATTCAAAAGTGAATAACTGTTGTATTCCTGGAAACATTATGTAGCATGGGGAGACTCAATCCTCCAAAATCCTCATGGTGGTTTTGGAGGATTTTGGAGGATTGAGGATAAATGGTGTTGAAGCACATGAGGATTTTGGAGGATTGAGGATGAATGCATTTTTTGAGGCAGGACTGTCTGACGATTTTGAAGGATTGAGGCACTGGGTATCCTTCATTTGAACATAAGTACAAAATTTTGGAGGATTTTGGAGGATTGAGGATGGTTCCTTGCAAAAACACCCAAGGGAGTTAGGGTGGGGAAAAATAATTGGGGCATGGGGAACTTTAAACAGCAGGTTAAAAATAGCATCTTAAATTCCTGTGATGGTCCGGATGTTCAAGCAGCTTGTTTGTAGTCTTAAGAGTGAAGCAACTTGGCTGGTCGCGCATATCTTTACCTAACACTTGTCTGCATACATATCCACCTGTAATCCTGAGACAAGAGTTTAAAAGTTCACTCCACAGGTCGTGTAAGACAGAAAGGTTGTATCAATTAGTTGCCGAGGTGATTATTTTGACATCTTGCTTGAAGGGGAAGAGAGGCAAATTAAGATCCTTTCAGGTTACTAGGTCCTCTGTGAACAGACCTTGGGAGGATTTACGAGTTGGGCATAATTTTTGATCTACCAGGTCTCTCATACGTGCAGCCGATTTCACGAAACAGTGTGTAACTTACACAAATTTGTTGCGCAGCTGCGCAGTAAATTACGATCAATTTCACAAAACTTGGCATAGCTGCGCAACGTTTCAAATAATCTAAACATCTTGGACAAGGATAATAGCAGCAATTACGATGGCTGTTTGTGTACGATTTTGTTCGTTCATGAAACAGTCATTGAATCCCCTCCACCCACCATTTTGAAAACTTTTTGTGTGTGACTTTCTTTGGAATCGTGCGGCAACTCTAAGAACTGTGCAATAACAGGCTCCACTACGATCACGATTTGCTGGTAAAATAGGTCATCAGCTACGTGATGGCATGCACTGAACTGACGAATTATAGCAACCTTGCGCACGTGTGCGTCGTGTCAACGCTTGCGCACACCCATTCATGGCTTCGCCGAATGAAAAACGAACTACTAACGGAAATTTCAAAAAAACGTCTTTAGACACATCTTTAGAAATTACCTTCTGTTATTGTTTTCTTCACAATGACAGCATGCCAGAAGGAATAATTTCACATGGAGTTTAGTGCCATTACTATCTTAAAACCAAGTATGTTTTTCAACAATAATTTTGTCAGTTACTTTTTGGATAGCTGCAAAAGATCTACTCTACCATTAATTTGAAGCGTGTATGTAATTTGAAATCCTACATGTAGGTCAAAGGAGCGCGAACTAGCTGTTTGATAACTCTATTCCAACAGCTTAATCATCTTGGATACCAAACCTCTCCGGTAACTTGACTCATCCTTCGTCTTCCCACCTAACAAATTTCCTGTCCCAACTTCCCTTTTCTCTGTACCACTCCTTAGCCAAGTGATCTAATTTTCCTTAAATCGTGTTCCTGTGTTGGTACCTGGAGGAAGTCCGCGTTTCCTAAGCATACCCACTTCAAGTTTGATAGCATTGGTCATGATGTCTTACCAGTTGTTCAAACATGTTAAATAATGAGGAGGATTTGGTTGAGGGTAATCTTGAACTTTATACCTACTATTATTTCATGTACATTCTTCTCCGAGTCCCTTCAGAAAAGCTCAAAAAGTAAAGACTCTGTAAAAAAATTTCAGAGGCATGGGGTACATAGTCTGAAGATCAGACATTCACGTGTGCAGAGCCACACTACGAACGTCAGATATATACGAGCGTGCAAATTTTATGCAACCCTGCATGCCAACCAATCGGAGTCAACTTTAGAAATTGCGACGTCATTTCGAGCCTAAGCTGTTGACTAGTCAATTGGCTGCCATACATAATACAACAACGCGAAAAAAAATACCCCCTTGCATTTGTACTTGTAACTTTAGATACGCCTGTGCTCATACATGCATGTAGCGTTTGTATACATGAGGATCGCGCCATTCGTGGGTGCCCATGAACTGCGTGCTACCGAGTGTTTTAACCTACTAACACCCTCCAAGAATTCCTCGTTATTGCTTGAATGAAGGCCTTCGTACATCTACATTGTTAAATTGGTTAAAATGGGAAAATCATTTGTGTTTTATTATGAGAAAAGAACAATAACATCACATCATTGTTTTTTTTTAGTGAATTAGTTACATTTAAAGCATTTAAAAGAACGACAGTTGTCCAGCTGCCACAGCTGAACCGGAAAGTTTTTTTTTTCTTTTATTCCGCAGCTATCTTTACAAGAATAGAATAACGGATATTGACAGTCGAGCCTTTGATGGTTTAGTCAACCTGGAGCAGCTGTATCTGTACTCCAATGAGATTCAGGAACTCAAGCCGGGAACTTTTAGTAACCTGCCCATGCTGGAGAGACTGTAAGTTGCTCAAAGCTTGCCTCTTCAAAATGCTGTTTTGTCAGTCTTCAAATGTGAAAAACAACAGTCACCTTGGGCAAGTTGGATCAAGGACCAATGGTTACCTAGTGGTTGCTTTGTGACGTACCTAGCGAATGCGCACTGAAGTTGAAGTGCGAACGACTCTAGTCAAACTATTGTCATGTCAAATACTGTGAGAAAACTGGTGGTCGCACATTGGCTTAACAATTGTTCAACACTTGATGTTCTGTTTATTTACTCAAATAATAGTGATTGTGTGGTTTGGGACACCTCACATAATCGCCATTATTATTGTACAATGGTGACAAATTGACAGAATCGTGAACTAACATGGAAAAACTTTGCAATGAAAATGAAATTTAACACTCACACACAGTTTTCATTTTTCCGCCGTTTTTGATAGTTGGTCCCCTCTGCACTAAGCTATGAGAAATTGCTATTGATAACCAGTTATTAATCGTGGCGCGACCAGCCGCGGTACGCTAGTCCTGAATAGTCGACTAGACTAGTCCAACCATTGTCGACTAGCGTACGTTCAGATCAGAGTTTGTCGAACTATGGTTAACTATGGTCCTTGATTGAAATTGCTCCTTGATAAGTACTTGTATAATCAATCACATTGTTCCCTATGACTTATTTTAATGTCCATTGTAGAGCTTGGTAAGTCGGACGTAATTGGCAATTCCAAATCATGGGAGAATGTGAAAGATATTAAAACAAAACAAAAGAATAAAACAAAAGGTCCTTAATGAAGACATTCTGCTTAATTGATCTAAGATTTAAGTATTCATAAAATTGACTCCTTTAATTCATATCTTTCATTACTCATTTTGCAAGTTTTTATCCATTTGTTTTAAATTTGCGATTCTTAGCATTCAAACAAAGCAATGCAATTTTCATTGTTATTTTGCATTTAATTGAGCTGAGATTGCATTTTTTTAGGAAAAAACATCATCCATATTCCCAAAATCTACATGTAAAACAAAATCACTGTTTTCACCCAAAACTTGCTCACGTAACCGAAAATGTGTAGATTTTGAAAATCAGCTTCACTTGTAATCATTTTACTTTGTTAAAATAATCAAAGATTTTAAAGCGTCTTAGTCACAGCAGGTCAGTAGTGCTAGCTGCAATTTCTTAAGTGCACCCTGAGTTTTAAAATGCATATTTGCACATGTCGTCAACCAACGCAAATGCTATTTGTGAGACGCTCTGGCGTAATGAGATAGAATTGGGCAGAGGTCGATATGAGGGTTTGCAGGTATTAGGAAAGAGAATAAAATTCTCCTTACAATACTGTCTGTTGCACCTCAATCGGACATTCCGTTGACAAGTTGTGGCCGTTTAAAGTTCACATTTATCGACATGTCCAAAAAATAAAATACTGAGAAAAGGCCTTTAAAGTTTCGAGTTTTGTATTCATAAAAATGAAAGATGCCAATTGTTTTTCCTTAAAATCACTTTTATTCCACGATTTTTTTATCATTTCTTGAAAATATGTGTAGCAGACATATCAAAGATTAACAACAAAAATGGAAAAACAGGAAAAAATTACCACTTTTTTCCCCTTTTTTTTTTTTTCATTTTTCTCCACTTCAGCCTTTGCCTAGGTCCGTCTCATTTTGCCACAACGCCTCAAAATTCAGTATTCCACCAAGACTGCATTAATTTGATTTACGATTTAAAAAAAAGTACTTTTGGCTCTGCACAATTTTCTAATGATGCCACAATTTATTTTGCTTAAAATTCCAGCACACACACATGTCCGTTTCAATAATCACACAAAAAAACATTTCTTTGTTTTAGTTTATTGAAATTCAGTGCATTTTAGTTCACTTTGCTTTTTTACCATTTTGTTTCCCACGTCTTTTTCCCTGCCTACTTCGTGTCTTCAGTTCGTCAGCTTTAGTTGTTTTTTTTTGTACGGACTAGGTGCTCTGTGCTGCATGCGTGCATGCGCTGGACGTAGCTCATCCTTTCCGTTCTGCTTCTCTATTCGTTTTTGTCCAACTTACAGGTTTTTGAACAATAACAATTTGACCTCCATATACACCGGCACCTTCCAAGGACTTGATTCGCTAAAAAGGCTGTAAGTCTGTTCGTAAACGTAGATTGCAATGGTGCCTGTGTCCTGTTGGTAGATTGTATGGTAGTGCTAGTAGCATGAGTTGAATCTTTGTCTTTGTCCTCTATGGTTGCACATGTATGTTGCATTATTTAGATGCTTGTCATGTCTGTAATCTTTACCCTGTTCACACGATGTCCAAAAACACACCTCCCTTGAGATTTTTGTCATACATCCATCCTCAGCCCTCTCAAACAGCGTTCACACAGTGCCTGATCATCAACATCTCAAGGGTTCCATGAGAGCAAATCGTCATTTCACTTTGATTGCTATCAATCATTTCATGCATGGTAAACTTGAAAAAAAAGCTTGGAAGTTTGTGCTTGCACATATAGAGAGATTACAGAAGCTTAAAGTGACTACCCACGTTTCCACGTTTCCCTGATAAATTATCACAAAAAGATGGAATACTGAGATATTTAAGACATCTTTCCTAGATTGGTCGCTATAGGAAGACGTTTTTCTGTGACATCGTTTTTCGGAAAGATGTCTTTCCCTGATATAAGTCGGAACAAAACTATGCCTTTCCCTGATTCTGTGATATGATATCTGAGAAAGACGTCTTTTGGTGATATCATATCTGAGAAAGGTGTTTAAGTTCTGAAATGCGTTTTCACTGAACAAAAGTCTTTATGAACGATACTATCGCGGAAACACGTCTGAAATATCGTGGAGCACTGTGGTCCAATGGTTACAGTGTTCGACTCATGTGCCGTGGGTTCGAATCCTGACAGGGAACATGGTGCTTGTGTTCTTAGACAAGACACTTTACTACAATTGCCTCTCTCCACCCAGGAGTATAAATGGGTACCTGTGAGGGAAGAGACCAATGCGCTGATCTCAAGCTGCTGCAAAAACTGGTCTCATGGCCTGCTGAACAGGGGTAATAATTGTGAAGCGCTTTGAGACTTTTGGTATAAAGCGCTTTATATAAGCACCACATTATTATTATATTCCGTCTTTCCATAATAAAATATCTCAGAAACGTGAAAAAGCAGACGGTCACTTTAAGCTTCCGTAAACTACGGAATTCTTCACAGAGCCATGATGCTTAAGAAATGCATGCTTTAATCTGTATTTTTGTGACAAAAGACTTTTGTTGGAATTCTCCAGCTTCACAAAACAAAATTTTTCACAAAACAAAATTTTTCACAAAATGTTCTTTACTTTGAAGTATATTTGTGCATGTTTAGACAGGTTCCAAAAAAATAACTCAAGCCTCCTGTGTTTTGGACATCTTGTCAAAAGGATTTGGTTAATAAGTATCTTATGCTTAAAGGTTTCTTCAGACTGGTTGTTCAAAGTTTTTCATCCCTTTGTCGATCCTGAGTTCTTATCCCTGATCCCCCCCTTTCTTCCAACTTGCATATTCTTTCCTTTTACAAAGTTCATATGTCAGTCCTCTCAGGTTTTGATCCTTGACATGTACATGTATGTTCTGTTTCAATCCGCCTTGCTGTCTTGCATTTCATGTGTCACCCCTATCTTTCCCTATTTTCCTTCTCTTGATTTCAAATTCTGTAAAAACCTTCAATTCTCATAAATTTGGCACCCTCTCCACCCCAAACCCCAGAAGTTTACAGGAAAGAGGAAGTAATAAGCATTTTTATGGCCTGTTTTTTTTTCAAAGCCTGTGCTTTTGTTGCTTGCATCACGCTTCAACATTTGTCTACGGTAGTTGCGTTGTAGATTGTAGTGTGTCTCTATTATTCAGCTATGTTTGTCATTGTGTGTCCTGCACATTATTCATACCAAGATTCATGCACCCGTCTGTGTGATTTGTGGAAATCATGTTTTCATGTTACTGACCGGGTAAGTTTAACTTTAAGTTCAACTGCTGCACTTTTCCTGATATTTCTCAAAACTTGCTGACTTTTTGCAGAGTGGTATTTACTCAAGCACCCATTGTATATTTTAAACTTCACTTTAACTCTCCTACTATTTAAACAGTCAAAGACAGTCAAACATTTCATCAACTTCCCCTGCCATGCCTTTTACACAGGCTAGTCACCAACAGTCAGATCACATTTCAAGCAAGCACTTTGACTAGTCAAATTCAGTCAACAGACAAAAGCAGGCTAGTGGTAGGCACAGCTGGCTTATCAATCACCTACAGTCAAAGCATAGCTGTGTCAAGTTACATAAACAGTCACAGCCAGTCAATCCTGCTTTATGTAGGCTGGGAGCTCTTAACTGTTGAAAACAGTCATTTGCTTGATTTTGACTGAAAGGACAACTTGACACAGAATCAAACATGCAGACTTTATGCTTGTCTATCAATATAATTCTTTCAAAATTTACAAGAATGGGGTATTGGACAAGCGGACATAACAGACTTAAAAGAAGTAAAGGTTTTTCTCCTTTTTTTTTGAAAATGGATTCTCCAGTTGGGGGATGAATTTCAGGTTTAAAAGTCCAATTCATAAGCCGGAGGCAAAACAGATCAATCCTCAGTAGGCTGACATCTGAATCAATTGTTACAGTAAATCTTTTCTTTCCAAAAAAAAAAAGAAGCTTTTCCTAAAATGGAAAGCCTACGGCAAGCTTTGGAAAATGACAGAAGCAGCTGTAAACAAATTGGAGTTCAATAAAGAATCAAATTGGATTCAGAGTTTTTTCATACGTTTGTCTGAAGAAAAGTTTGCCCGGAATGAACTAGTCCTGACAATTGTACATTCATCATCGTAGGCAGACACATTGTGCGGCTCCAGCACAATACTTCCCACGGGCACATTATTCAGTACATCACGCACATGTGTGTATTGTGCACATTATATTCAACTGTCAAAAACACAGTGTCCTTTCCGTGAACTCGGATGGTCGTTGGACTTGTATGAACTTGATATATCCAACAAAAAATCAAAGAATAGCACAAATGCTTGAACTGAAATGGATTCCACAAAGGTGTGTGTCTGTTGTTGAGTTGTATACGTGGATTTTGAAAAGAATTGTTAAGTTCCTGTAAAGCCTATTTAAAAGAGGGTACAAAATTGTATCTGCTACAGGTTGCATTTTGGGGCCTTTCATACTATCCAAAGTCTCTATTTTGGAAACGGGTCTAACACGGCTTCTACATGGGTAAAATCCTACCCTGGGTAGGACCAGGGTTAAGAGGCTCTACCCGGGTAGAGAATCCATAATCTACAGCTGACCTGTGTACGTCTGGTGTAAGTGAACACAGTACGCCTTGCCTACCCGTGTTCGTTGGAACCGGTTCCGCTTACGGCAGACCCGTTTCGATTTCAACACGGGTAGGATAGCTTGAAAAGGCCTCACGATTAGACATTAACCCTCACCCTCCTCAATCCTCCAAAATCCTCCTGCCAGTTTTCGATGATTTTAGAGGATTGAGGATGAGTGGCAAAGATGTATCGCTTTTTTGTGTGGAGGATGCTTTATGTCAAGCCAGTAGGCCATATCCTGCATTGGTTATGTTCAGCCAGGCATTCAATCAGCCCTGTGTTTTTCTCGTATTTCATCCGCACTGCTTCTAAACGCCATTCGCACTGCCTCAAACCATAGCAGTAATTGGCAGAGGATTTTGGAGGATTGAGGCAGCGGTCACCCTCCACAGACTAAATTCAAGAAAATAACGGATAATTTTGGAGGATTGAGGCTGAATCCCATTTTTTTTTCTTGGTGGCAATTGGAGGATTTTGCAGAATTAATGTTGCATCCTAGCCAGAGGGCCTAGGGGTTAGGGTTAATCATAGTCTGGCATTACATAAAGCATTGCCTGAAATGTATCAGAGCTATTGGTTGTTGCCAGACATGCAACTTTTCCTCGGATCCAATGATGTCCTCATATTTTACTTCTCATGAATGCCAATGTTACAAATTGAAAAACACTGTACAAAGTCTTGTGTGCTTTTAAATGTCCTCGTTTCTTCTAAATTCCCAGTTGCATGAACAGTTGCACACACTGCCTGAAGTGTTATCCAGACAGACATAAAGTTTGAAATATGAGACTCATTGACAAAGATATGATTTACTGACTTCGTTTTTGAAATCCACAAAAATAGATTTGGCTTTTAAAAAAAGGAGTGCCACAACCACAGGGAGAATAAAAAAGATAGTGCAGACCATCAATAAAGTTGAGGCGTATTTCACAATGACAATTCCATCGCTGTTGGCGATTAAACTTGTCATTAATCTTCAGCATGAGTCACAGAGTTTAACAATGAGTAGAAAGACGTGCGTGTATTGTACAACTGCAAATACCCTGTATGTGTCATCTATTATACCTTAAAAAGGGGGGTAAAGGGGGCGAACCTGTGTAAACAGGAACGGAGTGCCCATCTCTCTTTCGTTAGCGATTGGGCCAGACTCATATGCTGCTGTGGGGGGATCGCCACACCTCCTCCACAGCGAGTCTGTTACCTTCCCAGCATTGAATAATGCCGGTACCCATTTAACACCTGGGTTGAGAGGAGTAATTGAGGTAAAGCGCCTTACTCAAGAGCACAACACGCATGTCCACGATGGGGCTCGAACCCACAACCTCACGATCATGAATCCTGTGCTCCACCGCTAGACAACACGTGCCCATACCTTAGTTATTTGAAAACACTTTCATTGGTGGGAAAGGATAAAATTTAAGCACCATAAGTTGTTGTCTTTTTACTGTTTTAATTGTAAAGTTGAACAAAGAACTTTACTGGAGAGGGGTTTGAAGTTGGAACCTGCTACCTCGGGGTTGCTGTTCCGGTGCTCTACCACCTGAGCTATCATGTCCTATGTTGGCAGTTTCCCATTTGTTCAATGTGTTTGTTCAAGGGCGCTAGTCAGAATCCAGAAAGGGTTGTTAAAAAAGGTGGTTTTTTTTCCAAGTTAACACTGATGACGCACAATCATCAGGCATTTTATCTGACAATCTTAAGAAATACCGGGTTAGTCCAGTGCCTTATCATACAGAGTGCCATACACACTGTGGAGGCTTCGTCTAGACTCAAAAATCCTCTTTCAATCAACAAATTCCAGTTTTGAGTATACCCAAGCAGGAAACCAAGTCTTTCAACATCCTCTCCCCCTCCCCTCCCCCCCCCCCCCCCCCCCCCCACCCACGATCAAAATCTTTCTCTTGTCTACTACTCTAGAATTGAGTGCAGGTGAAGGCATTACATTGGCTGGTAACCGCCCTGAATACAAAGATAGTGGGTACCACTTCGGGGACCCATTGTCTGTCTAGTTATCCATTACCATATTTGGACGTTCGCTCAGTGTAGGGCCATACTGAACTGTGAACGTTACATTTTTACACATGTACATTTCATCCTACATCACTGAAATTCTTGTGTTTAACCCTCCTGCTATCTGAATAGTCACAGAGAGGCAAAAAAATCAATCCTTTTCCCTGCCATGCCTTTTACACAGGCTAGTCACCAACAGTCACATCATATTTCAAGTAAGCACTGTGACTAGTCAAATCCAGTCAACAGACAAACGCAGGCAAGCGGTAGGCACAGCTGGCTTATCAATCACCTACAGTCAAAGCATGGTTGTATCAAGTTACATAAACGGTCACAGCCAGTCAATCCTGCTTTACGCAGGCTGGGAGCTCTTAACTGTGGGAAACAGTCACTGGATTGATTTTGACGGAAAGGACAACGTTGCACTGAATGTATGTTTGCTCTGGAGGGTTTGAATTATAAAGTGTTTGAAAAAGGTTCATGCAGAAATACAAATGTTGTGAAAGTTGATTTGGGCATGTTATGGTACTTTGTGTACAAAATGTTTCTTGTTTTTGCTTGCCGTGCATTAGGCTTTCAACTAATCTTACTAACATTAATTGCACCGGATTGCATGGGAAAATAACCGGCATAAAATGCACTTGCAGTTAACTAGCAAGTTAACCAAAGCAGTCTTGTTTTATAGCTAAAACCTTCCTTCATTGTTTCCGTGGTTCCTATACTCTTCAAGGTTTATCCGACCCTAACATATTTACAGTATTCAATATTACATTTTGCCCTCCACCGACAAAATTTTACCAAACACTGTATACTCAGTGTTGTCCATGGGTTTGCGAGAAAAGAATCACAAGCTAACTTGGGTGGAACTCGAACCCACAACCTCCTGCTTAGTAGTGCAGAGGTCTTACAACTCAAACTCGTAGCTTTTAGAGGTCGTGGGTCGGTCTCGCCTGAGTAAGTGTGAATTGTTTCTTCCAAGTTGTCAGACAACACTGAGTGTAGCATAATTCGCCGAACCAAATTAGAAGCCAATTTTGGAGTGGTACCACGCCCGTGTGCACGCCGCACACATTCTTAAAGACGAGGCACGTGCATTTTGGTAGCTCTATTGTCGAAGGAGCTCAGAGTACGTGCGTATAACCAGGGGCCCAATTTCACAGTGCTGCTAAGCGTAAAAAAATTGCTTAGCACAAAAATTTCTGGCAGGTTACCAGCCAAAACTCCATGTGATGTATATTGCTCGTGATTAGTATTCAGCTGTTGTTTGCTTAGCATGAAAATCAGTTTTGGCTGGTAACCTGCTTTTATAAGCCAGACTTTTTTTGTGCTTAGCAATTTTTTTGCTTAGCAGCGCCGTGAAATTAGGCCCACACGACTCGCATGACCCTGGTGCCACTGCAGAAAATGGTTGTCGCCGAATTACTCAATGCAATGTTCATAAAAATTGAATTCGGTGAATAGAAGGGCTAACCCAACGTTGAAAACCATCCTCCCCTGCGCAACTTTTATCAATTTTTTTTGGGTAAAAATAGAAATGTATATTGGAATAATAGTTTCCAATTGATATTTGTTTTTGTCTTGTTGGCAGACGGTTAGATGCAAACAAGCTGATGTGTAACTGTAAGCTAATATGGCTGATTGAAATGCTGAAGCAGGCTAGTCATCAACGACACACGCAGGCGGCCGCGACCTGCGAGTATCCGCGGAACCTACGCTCCAGAAACCTGATGGATATATCACCAGAGGAACTCAACTGTAGTAAGTTACGACGCAGGGCGTTAAGGGAAAGGCTCGGAGGATTTCGGGTAGGGAAGAGGGGGGTTAGAGAGGGGTCAGATGTTAGTTATGATGGTGGGTGCAAAAGGAAATTCCTGGGTAGGTGTTTGAGAAAGTGACCAGATTTGAAGTCTTGGAGGATGTGGAGCAGGGAATGGGGGATAAGAAGGTGTCTGTTGTTAGTTATGATGGTGCGTGCAAAAGGAAGTTCTTTTAGGGTAGGTGTTCGAGAAAGTGATGTACCAGGTTTGCAGTAAGTTAAAATTGAGTTTGAAAGGGAAATTATGGTTTTTAAGATAAACTGAAGGTGGCAGAGGAGGTCTGAAGTAAATTATGAGGAGGGGTTTGTATAGGAATTTTTGGAGAGGTCGGTGAGTTACATGAGAATATTAGGGTGGTACTATGTATGTGTTGTGGGAAGTGTGGCGTAGTGGTTAGGGGTCGTGACTTATGATCAGATGGTCAGGGGTTGAATCCAGCTGCTGGTCATATGTTGTGTCCTTGGGCAAGCCACTTCACCCCAACTTGCCTCTCTCCAACCAGGAGTATAAATGGGTACCGGCATTAGCTGGGGAGTAACCTGTGATGGACTAGCATCCCAGCCAGGGGGAATAGAAATACAGTATTCTCAGTCGTTTCGTGCTACTAGATATTTCAGCTTTTTAGCGTCATTGAAGTGATTCTAATATTATCACTCTCGTCTGACTTTTTTTTTTCTTCAGGAAGACCTCATTTTGTTGTAGAACCTAGTGACGTTGACGCAGTTGAAGGTAATAACGTGTACTTCAGCTGTCGAGCCATGGGCGACCCAGAACCAGAAATAGTCTGGCTGCATAACAGGTACACATCTGGCTAATAACCAATTAGCACCTGTAATACATTGTATTACATTGTATCACATTGTATTAAATTGTATTAAATGTAATCCAAAGTAAAATGTGGTTTTAAATAAGGGAATAAATGTGTGCTCCAGAGGTTTTTATCACTCTGTTTAATACCACTTAGAGTCTGGGTGCTGATAATTACCCGAGCCGGAGGCGAGGGTAATTATCAGCACCCAGACTCTAAGTGGTATTAAACAGAGTGATAAATACTGACGGAGTACATATTTATTCCCATTCATAAATACCTTTTCGGTAAAAAAAATCATATAATTCGTTCAAAACATCCCGATTTTATTCAACAAATTCACTTTATGCTTTTTGAATCATCCCTCCTGCAAAATAATGGAGTGTTCAGCTGGCGAGTAAGATGAAAACAACCCTTTTATGGAGATTGACGCGCGCGTATCATGTTCTATGCGATGTCGCGCAGAACGCACCTGGCGCGTTGCGTTTTGAATTTAGAACTATAAAATTATAACTCCCTGGTAGTGTTGCGCATGCCTACGTGAGGATTGTGAACGTTCAACCAATGAAACGATAAGAGGCACTGGATTTTTAGGAGTCCACATTTTATTGTGACACTGGAAAAGTGTTTAAGACCAGCTAGCCATGTCTTTATCATCCGTTTAATACCGGCCACGTGACGGGCTCTCGACCAATAGGAATGGCTAAACTGTCTGAGGTATTTATGAATGGTAGATAAAACATCGACTGGCTTTAAACAGATTTTTCTTGCACCGCTGCATTCTGCGCGCACTGGTTGACGGGTGAATGGCACAAAGAGCCATCTAGTGTGGTTAACCATAACATGTTTCACTCAAAAACTGGATCTGGTTTAGTCTTTATCAACGATGAGTTGAGGAAAAAATTGGCAGGTTTATTTTTCTTTCTCCCAGCTAGCACTGATGACGCACAATCATCAGGCATTTTATCTGACCATCTTAAGAAATACCGGATTAGTCTAGTGCCTTATCATACAGAGTGCCATACACACCGTGGAGAGTATGTGCATGGTAGCCATTACTAATTTTGTTACACTACAGACATTGAGATATTGGTTTGTAGTTTGGTGCAGATAACCCCCAACAGGTTTTCTCTAGGCACCATGCAAAATGCAACAAAATGCAACTTGGCTGAAATAAGAACCCTGCTATTAATGCAACCAATTGCAACAGTGGATTCTGTTTTATTGTGCAGTGAACCCAGTGCATATCAGCCTTGGCACCGAGCAGTTACCCTGCTAAATGCAACCAAATGCAACAGTGGATTATGTCGTATCTCTTTGGTACTATGAGCAGTTACCCTGCTAAATGCAACCAAATGCAACAGTGGATTATGTCGTATCTCTTTGGTACTATGAGCAGTTACCCTGCTAAATGCAACCAAATGCAACAGTGGATTCTATTGTATCGCCTTGGCACTATGAGCAGTTACCCTGCTAAATGCAACCAAATGCAAAAGTGGATTATGTTGTATCTCCTTGGCACTATGAGCAGTTACCCTGCTAAATGCAACCAAATGCAACAGTGGATTGTGTTGTATTGCCTTGGCACTATGAGCAGTTACCCTGCTAAATGCAACCAAATGCAACAGTGGATTCTGTTGTATTGCCTAGACATTATGGGCAGTTTAATACCCTGCTAAATGCAACCAAATGCAACAGTGGATTCTGTTGTATTGCCTAGATACTATGAGCAGTTACCCTGCTAAATGCAACCAAATGTAACAGTGGATTCTGTCGTATCTCCTTGGCACTATGAGCAGCTACCCTGCTAAATGCAACCAAATGCAACAGTGAATTCTGTTGTATTGCCTAGACACTATGGGCAGTTACCCTGCTAAATGCAACCAAATGCAACAGTGGATTCTGTTGTATCTCCTTGGCACTATGAGCAGCTACCCTGCTAAATGCAACCAAATGCAACAGTGGATTCTGTTGTATGCGCAGTTACCCTGCTAAATGCAACCAAATGCAACAGTGGATTACATGTATGTCGTATCTCCTTGGCACTATGAGCAGTTACCCTGCTAAATGCAACAAGATGCAACAAGCTCAGGGACTTGAGTTGCCTGCTAAATGCAACAATATGCAACTACTTTTGACCTTTGTTGCTTTCTGTTGCATTGAGCATGGTAAGGGTTAACAAATTCCCAGGGATGGAGGGATGAAATGTTTTAATATAGATTTAAGTTGCGTGTTTGTTTCTCTCATGTTATTACAGCATTAGCCTACGTGCCTACAAGACCTCCAAAAAAAACCGGTAGTATCTTGTACAATTAATTTCCTGAAAGACAACACGCAAGTCTCAGAATCCTTTTTAATCCTTGTATGTTTCATTCAAATCAATCCGCTGTCGTGCCAAAGTTGACCTCAGGTGTCGGATGTTGTTTAAGGTCGGTTGGTTTTCAGGAAAATCCAGCGGCAGTCTTTTTGTTATTTTTGACCAAAACATTGCGGATCCTTCCTTCCGTGATTTCCTTCCCACGACACGGGTCATGCAAGGGTCTGCTAGTACTTTGCATGCCATAAAAAAAGAAGAAACTTCAAGTAAAATTGTCTTGCTCAAATTTTGTACTTTCATCTGTAACTCTTGTGTTGATAGTATTATATTGTTTTCACACTGTCATGGTGGAATGTGACTTCGACATGTTTACATAACAATCATCAATGAGTTATTTTGTTTACTTCTCGAGATAGTAACATTTTGCAGGTGTATGCACTTTCGAGTGCATTTCCTTTCTGAAATAGAGTACAAAGACTGAGAGTTTGTGGGCCGCTGACAGTTTTTTAATGTTATTGCCTCGTAAAGGATGTGACAGGTACTTTTATTCGAAATGTAGCTTAACTTTGAACTTTTCCAACCTAGTACTGTGCTGTTTCGGATAATTTAGTATTTGATTATTGGAACATGAATTTGATCGAATATTAGACCAGTGCAATTGAGGTAAAAATGTTTCAGGAATGTCACGTACATGTATGCATGGATGGGGGTATTTTTTTTGGGGGGGGTTGAGGGTTTGGTTTTTGAGATAACTGACGACAGAGTTAAGATAAAATTAGGGCTGATATTCCTGGCAGAAGCTCTCGAATTGTATATTTAAAGTGGCTGTCACAAAAATGTGGAATTTTACAAATAATAAAACCTCTCAACTTATACGAATAAAATAACATCACAGATGTTTTTCATCTTCGTCTGGCACCTCAAATATCGTTTTTAGTTAAGTGCTTTTTGGACATTCAACATTGGACATTAGAACGAATATCCGGTGGATGAACAAATATTCGGTGGATGAACAAATATTCGGTGGATGAGCGAATATTCGGTGGATGAACGAATATTCGGTGGATGAGCGAATATTCGGTGGATGAACGAATATTCAGTGGATGAACGAATATTTGGTGGTGAACGAATATTCAGATACCAGTATATTTTGCACAGCCCTAAACCTGACTGAACTGTACTTTTGCCTTCCAAGCATGGAGATCGATCGCCTTGAAGTAACCCCATACTCATCGCAGACTAAATTGCCTCCAGTTTTCAACTTGAAAACTTCCTGGCCGAAGGAAGTGATTAATACCTCGATATTCTGGGGGGGGGGGTGCAGTCATCAAGCTTGCTATTTCTTACTCTTATTATGTCCTGAAGTTATATGGTGTCTCAGATCTGTAAGGAAACTACCACCTCGCCGTCTGCTTTGAAGATTTGAAAACGTCCCCCCCCCCCCCCATTCCAACGGCAACAATTCTAAACATCTGTTTAGTGTTGAAAGATTTATGCTGCCAATTCGGAAGGCATGTTTTCCGTTTATGACTTCTTGTTTCATAGTAAAAAAAAAAATTGGTATCGTAGACCGGAAATACAAGTGATAAGTAGTCTAATGTAGAACATTTTGTCAGAGGAACGGAAGGATATTATTACCTACTTCTACCGATTTTAATGACATAAACCTTGCTTCAAAGTGAAGCTAGGACTGGGGTCAAACACCCTGTGAAATTATTCCGCCTAAAATGGTATCATTTCGGAAGAAATCAATCTTTATTTAACCATCCTGATGTCTGAACAGTCCAGACAGTCAGAAAAAAATCAATCCTCTTCCCTGCCATACCTTTTACACAAGCCAGTCACTAACAATCAGATCATATGTTAAACAAGCACTGTGACTAGTCAAATTCAGTCATAAGACAAAAACAGGCAAGTGGTAGGCACAGCTGGCTTGTCAATCACCCACAACCAAAGCATAGCTGTATCAAGTTTCATCAACAGTCAGAGCCAGTCAATCCTGCTTAATGTAGGCTGGGAGCTCTCAACTGTTAAAAAAGTCACTTGATTGATTTTGACTGAAAAGACAACTTTGTACAGAATGTATGTTTGCCTAGGAAGGTTAAGGTGGTTTTAAAAAAAAGTGTGTCAGCAGGCAAACTTTTGGACGTGCTTTAAGCAATGGAATCCAGTTACGCGACTCAAAAATAATGCTTGCGTTTTCTCTTTTTTGTCTCAAATTTCATTGTAGCCACTGAGTTAAATATTCAACAAGTTCGTTGTTACGCACCCGGCTTAAGATTTTGAGCAGTTTTGTACCTTCATTTCAAAAAAAAAATGCTCAAAAATCTAATTATCCTACGCACCTCTAACAGTTATTTAGTCACCCAATGCAGCTCGATACAACAAAACTCAGGGAAAACGAGGTCTTACTTTTGTAACACTTTATTTTGACAGCGTAGAAATTACCGCCGCAACGTTGAACACCGTTGACAGTAAATACAGTATTCTAAACGATGGCACATTGATGATCCAGAATGCAAGTGGTGATGACGAGGGAGAATATGAGTGCACGGCGCGCAACGCCGTCGGAGAAACAACATCGGAGAGGGTCAATCTACGATACTTCGGTTCTCCAAGTAAGTGATATATGTCAACGCTGAGCCACGGACATCCAGGAACTTCTCAACTCGCCTTGTCTTATTCCCAGACTCATTTTCATAAAACTGAATGGTTCTTGAGTTAGGAGTGCTGAATGGTAACACATAGCAACCAGTGAGAATGCATGTGATAATGAAAAGATGTTTTCACTGGTTGATGTAATCCTGCGCTGCCCAATAATATTATATTTCATAGAAGGGTTATTCCATGTCAGATTGTCACATCTCCATTGCTCAATTTCTTGGATTTTCATTTGTTGAAATTGTTTCGTCATATGAGAAAACTCCCAAAACCAAATCTGAATTTTTTGCTCACACAGTTTGTTAATAACAGGTCGTTGAACTTTTGACCATTGAACTTTTATAATAACTTTGAATGTCTGTATCTCCAGTTGGGAACGTCAGACAAAGATTATTTTCATCTTAAATTAAAGCTCCTAACAGAAATTATCTAGTCTGCAAATTAAAAAGGAAACTTTGACATTTCAAAGTGAGTTCAAGCGAAAGAAACTTTGATCTTTTGAGTCTTTTCAGAGTTGTGAAATTAAGATTTCTTAAAAAGTTTGTCCAAAGAAGGCCCTAGGTTTACTCTTGTGCTGTTGTGAAATATATAAATGGGATCTCTAGGGGTTGAGATGGGATGTACGTTATTTTGAGAAAAGTACGAGAGCATGAACTTGTAGAATCCTTTTAGTTTGGTAGGACGAAGCAAGGACATCACAACTGAACACAACTAACAATGGAGGAAGAATGCTGTAATGTTGTTTATACTTTAAAATTAGATTTTTAAGTGTATTGATATTGAGATGTTTTCATTGTTTTACTCTGTGTTTCTCAGAGGGCCCCACCTTTAGCCAAGAACCCACTGACACGGAGGTCAAGCAAGGGACAACAGTCACCCTTGACTGTTCAGCCAACGGCTACCCGCGTCCAACCATCGTCTGGACACGACACGGACAAAGCGTCGTTGACGACCCTCGCTTTACCCTCCTTGCGTCAGGATCCCTTCACATCAGCAGCGTGCAGCCGCCAGATCGTGGCGACTACACGTGTACCGCTACAAATCAAGCTGGCTCTAGAACTGCTTCCGCTACCCTCAGCGTCACCGGTAAATGTCATTTCCCGTCTTTTTTTTTTTTGCCTTCGTAACAAATCTTGACTTGAAAATGTGAACATTAATGTTGTGTGTTCCTTGAACTTGTAACATTTTGAAGCAATACCCTCGGGTCTTTGCCCCGGCCTTCTATCCAGGAACTTCCTAGTAAGTGGTTAGACGGTATCTGACTGTTACTCCGCCCAAATGGAGTTGTCTGGACCACATTTAAGCCATGTTTGAATCAACGGCTGCGGCTTGCAATGATGCATGCGCCTATGGAAGCATCTGAAAGCCACTTCCCATAGACACGTGTGTAACAGGTAGCCGTAGCCAATCAATTTGAACACGGCTATTACAGCAAAGTAGCTTGAAAGCCTTAACACATGTACAAAGGAACACACAAAGAATCAACTATGATGACAATCAGAACTTTTCTTTTAATATGATGAGTAACAGATTTATAGGATCATTTGCTTTTCATGCATTTCGTTCATTTCCAAAAATAACACCACTCAAAATCCAAAGAAGAATGTTCAAAACTTACCTGTTGAAGTTTCTGCTCGGTGGATATTACACTTTTTCGAGTAAATATTGAAAAACCATGCACAACCTTTGATCACGAAACACGATTTCGTCCAAATCACTGTTTATTTCCAAAAATCAGTCCATTGACTGATCGTTGGAAATCACCTACATTTCTCGATTTCTCCTAAATAACAGCAAGCCAGACGGAATAATTTCACAGGGTGTTTAGTACCAGTACGATCTTTAATCCAAGTAAGCTTTTATATAATAATTTGGTAGGTTACTTTTGGGATAAATGCAAATAATCCTATATGCCTTTAACCCTCCTATGCAAACATACATTCTGTGCCAAGTTGTCCTTTCAGTCAAAATCAATCAAGTGACTGTTTTTAACCCTTAAGAATTCCCAGCCTACATACAGCAGGATTGACTGCCTTGCACTGCTTAAGAAACTTGATACAGCTATGCTGTGACTCTGGTTGAGTGATAAAACAGCTGTGACCACAACTTGCCTGCTTTGTCTGTTCACCCAGTTTGACTAGTCACAGTGCTTGCTTGACATATGATCTGACTGCTGGTGACTAGCCTTTTTAAAAGTATAGCAGGGGAAGTATAAGTGACTTTCACCTGTCTGTGACTGCTTAAATAGCAAGAGGTTAAAAAGCATACACAAGTTTGATGATTTTGTGTATAAATTTACATACATGTACCATTGCTGAAGTAGACAACACATGTGGTACAGTATGTTATATAAGTTGGGGACATAGGCCTATTGTGTAGAATCAATCATTCATGTGGTTGTAATGTTATAATGTACCAGTATTTGAATCATTTGACATTTGTGTGACTCAGTGTCTAGACATCAGAATCTACATTGATTCAGACACTTGTTCCTATTGCTCATAATACCCTGACCCCTTCAGTCCGTCCTGCCGCCCCATTGCATTACCTTGATGAGTTACAATATAAACTGTTCTTCAATATTGTTAAAATGTTTCCATTTTTCATATTTGTGAGTAAATTCTCTGTGTTACAGTTGAAGTGTGAAGTTTCATTACTTTCATTTATGAGTGCAACCAAGCAAATAGGCCAAAAATCTGCCCGCCGAGCTCATGAGTAATTGTTATACATTCAAATTATTATTTGTAAGAGAGTTCCGAGAGTCATGGAATTAGGAGATTGAAGACATACCGGGTACATGTACTGCACCTCTGGCCTGGACTTGGCGCTTCCACTTCTGAGCATTTCAGATGCAATGGGGTCCGAAAGTGGGGCTGTTTAGCCATGTTATGGAGGGATCCCAGTTTGGGAAACATCATAAGTATAACTTTCTTGTCGACACCAATTTATTGGTCCCATTCTTTTAGCTGGGTGAAGTCGATGGACAGTTATACAGTACTAACTGCAAAACACTACAGTGGCCCATAATATCCATCGACGCATGCAGTTTTGAACAGGCGCGCTTTGTATGCAACTTTTAACCAGTGAGGAATACAGCTGCAGCTGCCGTGTGTAAAACTAGATCAGCGAGTTTCGAATAATTGAATTTTCGGTCAAGTGCAGTTTTGAATTATCAAATACTAAATTACTCGAAAATGGGCAGCCCTAGATGTAAATTTGAGTTTTATTTTCATACCATAAATGTACTTGATTTTTTTTAAATGATTGATATTTTTTTTCTTTATTGTGAATTTTTCAGTTCCTCCAACTTTTGAAGTGACCCCCCAGTTCCTCTCAGCGATAGAGGGCAGCACAGTGGAGTTGTTTTGTCAAGCGACTGGTTACCCTCTCCCCGTCATTGCATGGCGTAAAGATGGTAAGTTGCTGTCTGAAATGTTTGTTGGTTTCTGATATTTGTAGCGTACTGTCTCCTGACTAACTAACTGACTGACTGGGGCCCGTTCTAGACGCCGTGTTACTGCCACTCTAAACAAATTTAAACGAGTGTGGCAATAGCTCGTCTACAGCACGGCAGTTGCTGTAAACGCCGAATGTAATAGTGGAACCTTAATGCATCTGGAGTAATGGGCCAGATTAAAGCAGTTCAATGAACTTTCAGCGCGATCAAAATATGTACTACCAGTTTAACTCCCCGCGATGCGGACGCGAGAGAGGGTATTGTGAGCATGTGCATTCCTCAATTGTTTGCCCCAACTTCGAATTGAATTGAGTTTGGCACGGCGTTTAGAACAGTGCGGTGCTACTGCCATTTGCAATGATGATAGGGCGGCAAGGTGCCATGCCAAACTCAATTCCCCACTTCCCCAAACTGCCCTGCCAGTTACTCCCTGTAATGTCCAAAACGAAACAAGCAATCTACGGTCATATGGATTAATTAGGGAATTCATACAATGTAATACAATGTAGTATAATGTGTTAATCTTGCCTCGATTGTTCTTTTAGGTGGTTTGTTACCAGATAGTCGTCGGTATTTGTCCCTGGCCAGCGGCACACTACGCATCGTACGAGTCACCCGTGAAGATGAAGGCAACTATGATTGCTACGCAGTCAACTCGGCGGGCAGCATACAAACCACAGCACAGATTGAAGTCAGACCAAGGGGTAAGATATCTCGCCAAGTCGGAGTTAGAATTTATTTCTGTCAAAGCTTTAATTTTGTCCAAAGACCTTCAAATCAGAAGTACACAGTTCTAAACCTTGATCTTTTGCATTGTTTTGCACCCACTGCTACCCATTGTACCCAGTCGCCCAGTGACTCAGCTCAGCTGCAGGATTACTTGGGCTACCTTTTGTCCACCTTGCTCAACTTCAGAAACCTACATGTGATTATAATCCTCCATCTTCGTGTATTTGCCTTTTCTTGTACCCAGTGCCACCCATTTTCACCCAGTGGCACGGTCTCCTGTGTTACTTTCATTTGCTGGTTAACTTCAGAATCCTGTTTCTACTGCTTGATCTTTTAGTCTTGTTTTGTACCCAGTGCCACCCATTTTCACCCAGTGACCTGCAGGATTTCACTCAGGCTACTATTCGTCTTCTGCTTAACTTCAGAATCCTTTATTCTAAGACTTCATCTTTTATCCTTGTTTTGAACCCAGTGCCACCCGTTTTCACCCAGTCGCCCAGTGACGTGCAGGTTATCACTTGGGCAACATTTTGTTCATCGTACTTAATTTCAGAATCCTAATTTCAATGCTTGATCTTTTCTCCTTGTTTTGTACCCGGTGCCTCCCGTTTTACCCCAGCCGCCCAGTGACCTGCAGGAAGTTGCCAAGGCTACTATTAATTTACTGCTTAACTTGAGAATTCTTAAATCTAATTCTTTATCTTTTGTACTTGTTTTGTACCCAGTTCCACCCGTTTTCACCCAGTCGCCCAGTGACCTGCAGGTAGTCATCCGGGCTACTATCCGCCTCCCCTGCTCAGCTTCTGGTGACCCTACGCCCGTCATCACGTGGAGTAAAGACGGGATCCAGATCCCAGAGAGCAACAAATACACCATCAGTAGCGAAGGCCATCTGGTCATTCATAACATTAGTCCTGATGACGAGGGAAGATTTGAATGTGCAGCCAGGAATAGTATCGGTTATGCTGCTACCAGTATGCTGCTTACTGTGGGTGAGTCAAGTTGCTTTAAGACTGATGATTAGCTTGTGATGATTTGTGATAGACTTGTGATGACTTATGATTGACTTGCGATAGCTTATGATTGACTGATGAAAGTTATGATTGATTTGTGATGACTCGGGATTGACTTGTGATGACTTGTGATTGACTGATGAAAGTTATGATTGACATGTGATGACTTATGATTGACTTGTGATGACTTATGATTGACTTGTGATAGCTTATATTTGATTGTGATAGCTTATGATTGACTTGTGATAGACTTGTGATGACTTATGATTGATTTGCGATGGCTAATGATTGACTTGTGATGACTTGTGATTGACTTGGGATGACTTATGATTGACTTGGGATAGCTTATGATTGATTTGCGATGACTTAGGATTGACTTGTGATGGCTTATGATTGACTTGTGATGACTAATGATTGAGTATTGATGACTTATGAATGACTTGTGATTGTCTTGTGATGGCTTATGATTGACTTGTGATTGACTTGGGATGACATGATTGACTTGTGATGACTTATGATTGACTAGTGATGACTTACAATTGACTTCTGATGCCTTGTGATTGACTTGTGACGACATATGATTGACTGTGATGACTTATAATTCACTTGTGATGACTTATGACTGACTTGGATTGACTTATGACTGACTTGTGATGACTTATGATTGACTTGTGATGACATAATTACATTCTGTGTATAGGGTTATTGGTTGGAGCCAAGACAATAATATTAAGAAAGGCCTGAAATGCTGACAGTCCATCAGTGAATGAAAAGATTATCCCTCCACACATTTCTAATTAAGAAACTAAGCATGAAAACTCCACACTGTATGGAAATTTCAATTTCAAGCCAATTATGTGCACCACCACGAACTGTAGTGTATTTTTAGCAGCAGAACACAACCAATGTCAGCTGTCAATCCACGCCATTAATTATTTTCACCGGTGTCGTTATAAACGGAATGACTTCCAGTCTCTGTGTCTGCATTCGCAGGAAACTCCCCCGATTTACTGAAACCGGTAAACGTTTGTCGGAAAGTTTCCATCGTTAGTGCCGTCTGAATTTGCCATCCTGCCGTCCTGTTTTGATTTTGTCTGGTCCGATCATCAATTCATTAATCACCTGGTTCCTGTGTCCAATTAACTTCGGACACCACAGATGTATTCAAATAAAGAATCTTGTGTGTAGTCACTTCTATATGTATATATGGTGGAAGTCCCTAGGAACTGAGTCATATACTAACATGTATTTCTTGATTTCTGAGCCTCTTTGAAAATTGTAGTGAGATCAAAGTAATAATGGTTTACGGTATGTAGTCGTTTACTGAAAATGGTTATATTACTTCATGTAACTGTTAATGATTGAGGTTAAATATCATGAATATGTTTTGGGGGATCATGAGAAGATAATACAAACTCCTTCCTTGCATTTGAAAACAAATTGAATGATAAAAAACATGTACTATGACTTATTAAACATTGAATTGTAAAGTTGAACAAAGAAATTGACTTAAGCGAGGTTTGAACCTGCGACTCTAGGCGTACCAGTGCTCTACCAACTGAGCTATCCAGCCCTATGTTGGTGGTTCCCCATTGTGTCTTTACTCAAGGGATGCTAGTCAGAAACAATGAAGCCATATGTGCCATGTAGCCAGGGATCCAGCCAAAGTCACGATGCTAGCAACATTAGCAATGCTGCAAGCAACATTAGCAATGCTGCAAACCTGGGAAATAGCAAACGGGGATCACTCAGAGAGGATGCCTTGATCCAGCAGTTACGGTGTTAGACCTAAGTGCCATGGTACATGGGTTTGAACTCTGACGGGGAACATGGTGCTTGTGTTCTTGGGCAAGATACTTTACTACAATTGCCTCTCTCCACCCAGGAGTATAAATGGGTGCCTGTGAAGGTAGAGACCAGATTGCGCTGATCTGGGCTGCAGAAAGTGGTCTCATGGCCTGATGAACTTGGGTAATAGTTGTGAAGTGCTTTGAGACCTAGCTTTAGTGGAAAGTGATATATGAGTCACGCACATTATTACTATTATTAAATAATCAAATAAACCACAAACGAAAACTGACTAGGTGCTAATGAATGAATGCCTACATGATCCTGCGAATTGAAGTTGCAGCTTTTTACCACCATACAGGGTGTCCAAAAAAAGTTGTGCAAGCATATATCTTTTAATTTCTCAAAAACTACTTAACATGAGTATTTCATCTTGATGGATCATATTAATTATACTTTTGTTTATAATCAGTGAAAATGCCATGGAAATCCGTTCATGCAAACCAGGGTTGTAACAGATCATAAAAGGCTATGAATTTTTCACCCATTCCAGTGGGATTTACACAGTTACTGTTATCAGTGCATCAGCTTGGCACGGGCCTTTTCACTCTGATGTAAATAGTTAACTGTGTCAACCCCATCCTGTTGGAAAAACCCATAGCCTTTTACAATCTGTTAGATCTCTGGTTTGCATGAACGGATTTCCATGGCATTTTCACTGATTATACACAAGAGTATAATTAATATGCTCCATCAAGATGAAATACTCATGTTAAGAAGTTTTTGGGAAATTAAAGGAAATCTGCTTGCACAACTTTTTTGAGGGCACCCTGTTCATAGTAGTACACATACATGTACATGTACATTATATGTACCTCAAAATCTAGCTACCTAAATATCCATGGGTCGCATGTACATGTATCACTCGCAAGGGAAAACCCTTATATGCTACATGTATCTATCCAGGGATTACACACAAAAAGACAAGGAAACCTGCAAGGACAAGATGGTTTCTTTGACATTTCTTGAAATCAACAGACTATGACGTCGTTCGTTATTCCGCTGACCCATTTGATTGCAGTCTTGCACCCTGACTCCACCTCGCTACGATCCACACTCCACCGAGGGAGGAAGTTCAAGGAGTCAGAGGCCCTCGATTCTAATCTTAATTGTTTCCTGGCCCAGAAGCTTAATCCTATTAGTGAAATTCGAGCCGAAATGTCAACCGCAGAAAAACTCCAGCCGGTAGCATTGGAGTATATGTACTTGTATGGTTTATATAGGTCACGGCATATTAAAGGTATAGTCCATCATTTGCAATTTGTGCATTTTGTTCGTTTGAAGCAACAAAAGTGCTCAAAATCTAAAGAAAGGTGCTGAACAACTAACCTGATGAAGTTTCAGCTCAGCTTCAGCTGTATATTTCGAGAAAAACAACATTCTAGGATCTCGATTTCAAATCAAAAGTTGCTGAATCATGTTTTGAATTGGGCCTGAATTCAGCATCCGAGACACGTTCTCACTGAGCCGATTGCAGCTACGCGATGCCGCGCACTGATCTGACGAATTATAGCAACTGCGCACGCGTGTGCATCGTGTCAATGCTTGCGCGTGCTTCGCCGAATATAAAAAACGAACTACTAACGGACATTTCCAACGGTGCTTCTTAAGACGCACCATTGGAAAGGCCTTCTTTCGTTGATTTCTTCAAAATGACACCTTGCTAGAAAGAATAATTTCACAGGGAGTTTAGTCCACTTACTATCTTTCAACCAAGTATGTTTTTCAACAATAATTACGCCAGTTACTTTTGGGATAGCTGCAAATGATGGACTCTGGCTTTAAAGGGTATTCTGAGTATCATCCGTGAACAACGGAGCCCTCTGTCTGTAACCAAAGTCTGGTATAAGTGAGCATACAAATTTAATGAAATCCCATGTGCCTGCCAATCGAAGTCAAAATTGTGATGTAATTTCGGGCAGAAATGTGGACTGAGCTGTTGATTGGTCAATTTGGCTGTCATGGTAATGGAAGACTCAGTACAAGGCGCCCCCTGAATGGTCAGAATGTCGAGGTCAAGACACAGTCTTGTTGTGCATAATTAATCGCCAAATCTGCTGAACATTTTACTTGTCAACATGTCAAAAAAAATATGTCCTACAAAAAGGTCCTACTTTTGATCCTAAATAACTCTGTTGTTTACCAATGGAATTTAACCAAAATTTCAGATCACGTGAAAGTTTGTGAAGGAATGCAGGATCACCCCGGATGTCATTGCATACCTCCTCGATCGTTTGGCCCAACACAAGATTGTAGTCATGGAATATTTACTTTACAACTTCTAATAATTTTCATCCCGACAATATTTCAGCTAGATCTTCTAGTTCATTAGAAGTTCAAAGACAACCCAAAATAAAGCATTTTTCAAGGATTAAGGCTATACGGCAAAAATGTGTGGCTGATTTTGGAGGACACACTCTAGGTCCGGCCCAAGACCCTGTGTTGTTTATGCTCAGCCGTGCATAAGTTTAGGCCTACCGGTAGATTGTACTTGAAATCCTCTGCGCTGCTCCAGGATGTCACTGGCTCTGCCTCAACATATTGACAGTGATTGCTGGAGGATTTTGCAGGATTGAGGCAGTGGTCACCCCTCCAAGGACCACATTAAAAAAATAACAGAGGCTTTTGCAGGATTGAGGCTGTATGCAATTTTTACATGGAGGCACTTGGAGGATTTGGCAGGTTTGAGGTTGCATCCTAGCAAAAATGCCTAGGGAGTTAAGGTTAATGTGGATTTAGCTGGTCTCTGATTAAAGCACATGTAGATCCAATAATCGGGAATTTTGCTCCTTTTTTTTCTTGGTGCAGATGCCCCTGATGAGGATCGTGAAGGGGACCAATTCGTAGGTGATTCCATCACCCAAGCCATTAATAACGTGGACCGCGCCATCAACGAGACGAGACGCGAGTTATTTGATCGCTCCAAGCCGCGTACCCCCAGCGATCTCCTGACGCTGTTCCGCTTCCCCTCCATGGAGGCGATGAGTATCGCGAGAGCTGCCGAGGTATTTGAGCAGACGCTGCAATTGATCCACGGTCACATTGAGAGTGGAATGAAAGTCAACTTAACCGGAGTTGGTAAGCAGTTATAGATTGTTAGATTAAACTTTTTTCATTGCATAGCATTACTACCATATTGGAAAGTCAGGCTGGCGTAGCGGTACTTTCCTCGCCTTCCACCGCTGTGGACCGGGTTCGAATCCCGCCTGGGCCAATATGTGGATTGGGTTTTCAGTCCCTACCTGATTCCGTGGGTTTTCCTTGAAATATTTTCCTGGGGTTTTCCTCCCATGTCTAAAACTGTAATTTCTTCACATTGTCTTCTCTTTACTGGGCCCAATGGGAGATCAGTGGATTCCACTGAATGGGCTACCCAGTTAAAATATGAATTAAATAAATAAATAATTAAATATCCCACAAGCTTATATGTACTCTTTATCTTGGATCGTTTGATCCCATCTGAGGGGGGGGGGGGGGGGCTGGACATGGTTCGAAGCATGGTTAAAAAACAAAAGTTAACTAACAAAACAACAACAACAAGACAAGAATAACGGGCCTCGGCTTCTTTTGGAGGTGGTCAGGTGGTGGTGGCTGGGGGATTTTGATGAACGTCCTGAACCTCCTGGAACCCCCCCCCCCCCCCCCCCATCCCACCCTCCACCCCACCCTCCACCCCACCCCCTCTTCACTGGTGGGGAAATAATATCATAGCCTCCCCTTTTAGTCCAGGCGATATTTCCAAAAGGCTCATTTAGGGCAAGAACAGGCATTTTTTGCTTGGTATCCATCATTTTCGGATTCAGCACCCTAATAGGTAAAAAAAGCTAGGTTAGCAACTTCTATCCAAAAATGCATCTTCATGCAACATTTCTTGAAATATCGCCTATACTATTTGTAGAAAGAGAGTGCATGTCAGCTCCATTCTCACTGATTAAAACAAAGAATGAAAAATGTACACGAATAGACATGCATACGATACACACAAAACTTAGCTTTTAATAACTTAAGGCTTTAATATTTCTTCTCACTGTCACTCATAACAATTAAAGGAGTATCTGAGGTAATGTATGCCATGACCACGATCATCATCAATTTATTTTTCATGGTTTAAAGCATGCTCTCTTTCTTTCTAGATAAGTTTGGTGGGTGGAATTCTTTTCAATTGAAAATGAAATTTTGATATTTTCCTTTCTGTGTTTCAGTTTGTTTCTGTGGTCAAGAAGTTCATTTTTTGATCTACGTACATGTAGCATGCATGACAGGAAACATTTACAAGTGATGAGTGTTTCTGTGAGTTCCTTTTCTGCTTGCAAGATACATCTTTGTGTAATGTTATTAGTCACAGATAATGTCCACGTTTCCTTCATTTTATCGGGATCACATTAGGGGATAAAAGCATGCCAAGTTCAATTTTCGGTTCTTCGCATAATTCTCTCAGCATGATGGTGCATCAGGATTGACTATTAAACGTCTCAGTATCGGCAACTCCCCAGGAAGTAGCTAGTTCCTTGATTGTTTCCGTTACTGTCTCTGACATAAATCTGTAGCTGTGTCTCCAGGTCTGGTTGACCCCTGACCTTCAGTCGACCTTTGACCTCAGTGTTAGTGTTTGAGTCTGGGTGGTTCTATAAATCCAAATCTCTCATTCATTCACAGTAGCATCAAAAGACTTAGTCCCATTTGGGTATTCATGAGTAATATTTTGACTTTTTCGGTACATTGTTAGCGGTTTTGTTATTTTAGTCTTTTACATTAATTTTTAAATGTAGAGAACATCATTTGTCATTTGTGCATTTTTTTGCGTTAGAAGCAACAAAAGTGCTCAAAATCTAAAGAATGGTGCTGAACAACTAACCTGATGAACTTTAAGCTCTGTGAATGCTGTATATTCCGACAAAACAATATTCTAGGATCTCGATTTTAATTCAAAAGTTGCCGAGTCATGTTTTGAATTGCGCCCAAAATCAGTGTCCAGACAGGTTCACATTTGCAGCCGACTGCAGCTAAAGGATGTCACGCAATAAAGCGATAAATAATAGCAACCATGCATGCGTGTGCATCGTGTCAACGCTTGCGTGCACCCATTCACGGCTTCGTCAAATTAAAAACGAACTGCTATTGGAAATTTCCAAAATGCATCTTTAGACGCATCTTTAAAAATGACCTTTTATTGTTTTGTTCAAAATTACAGCATGCCAGAAACAATAATTTCACAGGGAGTTTAGTCCCTTTACTATCTTTAAACCAAGTATGCTTTTCAACAATAATTTTTGTCAGTTACTTTTTGGATAGCTACAAATGATGTACTCTACCTTTAAAAACACACACATTGGTTTTCCAGCCAAAAAGCTGTAAAAATTGAGGTGCCTCTCAAGGGTCACATCTTCTGTTTTCCTTGGTGCCACTGTGAACATAAAAATCATTCCTTGTTTTCAGTGTGGACGTAAAATCTCTCCGGCCACCTACTGTGCTTTTGTCAAGGTTTTTATTGTTCAAGTGTAGAACCAAGTGTACATCTGCTTGCCAGATGCAGGGTTGCCAATATTATTCTTGGGTTGGTTGTACTTTTCTTCTCCTTTATACTTTTTGTTAAATTGGTTTTGAGGGTTTTTTTACATTGTAACACAACTCCATCTGGAATATTGGATAGTATTCTTTTCTCTTCCTAAGAACAGATTCCACTCTTAGTGGAAATCGTGTATCGAAATGTCTTTAACTTAACCATGTACAGACCATGGGCGTTCTGGCAAAATGAGACAGAACTGGGCGGAGGTAGAAATGAGGGTTTGCAGGTATTAGGAAAGAGAATATAATTCTCCTTACAATACTGTTTGTTGCACTTCAATCGGGCATTCCATTGACAAGTTATGGCTGTTTAAAGTTAATACTTATTGACATGTCAAAAAAGTAAAATACTGAGAAAACGGCCCTGAAAGTTTCAAGTTTTGTAGTCCTGCAAGTGAAAGATGCCATTTGGTTTACCTTTAAAACACTTTCATTCAACAATTTTTATACTATTTCTATAAAATATGTGTACTAGACATATCAAAGGTTATAAATATCATTAAATCTGAAAATCAAAAAAAAATCGCCCCTACAAATTTTTTTTCATTTTTGTCCACTATGGCCTGTGCCAAGTTCCATCTCATTTTGCCAGAGCACGCCGCACATATGTCCTGTGACATCATACCAACACGCAACTGACGGGCAACCGAGAGGCAACTTAAACATTTCAGCATCTTTTACATGTTATTCTGCCCACATTAAACAGTTTATGTTGCCACTTTTACACCAATCACTTTTCAAGAGATATACAGGCAGTGCAGAAGAGAATCTGGCCGCAACATCCAACTTTGTAAACAAATGTAACATGGCCTATATTCAGTAACAATAATATTGCGCTGTAGTTTTGGTGATTCTAACACCAATTTCGCATTAATTTTTCACTCTCTTTCGTCCACTTTACAGAGTACACCTATGATGACTTGGTATCTCGGCCGTTTCTGAATCTCATTGCCAACCTGTCCGGTTGCACCACCCACTCCAAGATCGTCAACTGCTCAGACATCTGCTACCATCGCAAGTACCGTACCCACGACGGTACCTGTAACAACCTGCAGAATCCTGAGTGGGGGGCGTCGCTGACACCCTTCCGACGACTCCTCAGACCCATCTACGAGAACGGGTTTAACACACCTGTTGGTTGGAATCAGTCTCATCTGTATAATGGTCACCCCAAGCCTAGTGTCCGCAAAGTATCGTTGGAGGTTATGTCCACAGCGACGGTTACGAACAGCGATAAGTTCTCCCATATGTTGATGCAGTGGGGTCAGTTCCTAGACCATGATATGGATTTCACCGTGACCAGTCTGAGTCGCGCGCGATTCAGCGACGGCGTGGAGTGTAAGGATACCTGCGAGAACCAGCCACCGTGTTTCCCGATCAACGTACCTGACGATGATCCGCGTATCCGACGCATGCAGTGTATGGAGTTTACGCGGTCTAGCGCGGTTTGTGGTAGCGGCAGCACGTCGGTGTTTTTTAATTCCGTCATGCCGCGCGAGCAGATCAATCAAATCACGTCGTACATCGACGGCTCTAATGTTTACGGCAGCACGAAAGGACAAGCTGATAATCTCAGGGACTACACTAATAATCTGGGCCGTCTCAAAGCAGGACCGATTGTCGAATCATCCGGGAAACGTCTTCTTCCCTTCAATCGCGATACGCCCATCGATTGCCAGCGTGATGTGAACGAAAGCCCCATCCCGTGTTTCCTCGCCGGTGACTTCCGTAACAACGAACAACTCGGCCTACTGTCCTTACACACGCTGTGGTTCCGTGAGCACAACCGTATCGCCGATGAACTCCTTAAGATCAACCCACACTGGGACGGCGAGAAAATCTTCCAGGAGACCAGAAAAATCATCGGTGCTTCCATGCAACACATCTCGTACAGTCACTGGCTACCTAAGGTCCTCGGCTCACAGGGTATGGACTTACTAGGTTCCTACAACGGTTACAATCCAAAGACCAATGCTGCAATTGTCAACGTCTTCGCAACGGCAGCATTCCGATTTGGACACAGTTTAATCCAGCCTATCCTGAGGAGGTTAAACTCAACGTATCAGACCATCGAGCTGGGAGATCTCCCCTTACACAAAGCGTTCTTCTCTCCTTACCGCATCGTAGAGGAAGGCGGTATCGACCCCATCCTGCGGGGACTCTACACCTCTCCTCTCAAGGAACCTAAACCTGATGAGATGATGAACACGGAGCTAACGGAACGTCTCTTCCAAATGGCCCACGAGATCGCCCTTGACCTCGCCTCCTTGAACATCCAAAGGGGGCGCGACCACGCCCTGCCCGGTTACAACGACTGGCGAGTCTTCTGCAACATGTCCGCCGCTCAGACTTTTGATGATCTCCGCGAGGAAATCTCCAACGATGACGTCAGAAGCAAGTTGGAGAACCTCTACCATCACCCGGGCAACGTGGATCTCTTCGTGGCCGGTTTAGCTGAGGATCCCGTAGAGGGCGCCCTTTTAGGTCCCACGTTCACTTGTATATTGGCATTGCAAATGAAACGACTGCGTGCGGGAGACAGGTATGCATTCCATATTCTCTCAACTACATGTAATTCTGTTCCTTTTCAAGCAATCGGTTTAGCTTTACAAAATGAAATTTTTATTAATTGATCATGTCGAGTTGATAAGCTCCTTTTTAAACTTTCCTTCCTTTGCTTGATGTTATAAACCTAATTTTCATGACATCACAATGACTGCGTCTTAATTTTTACATTAAATTAAGTGGAAGTGCAGTGGGCAAAAAGTTTTAAATAGACATCTATGCATTTACTTTGTTTACTAGGCAGACGTGGGGTAAATGCCTCTCACAAAATGCGACGTCAAAAAATTAGGTGGACAATTTTTGTTGGGCCCATTCAAAAGGAAGTCAATATTATTTAAACGCCAAAGACACAACCTCAATAGCTTTAGCTTCTTTGAATTTTATTTTAAATTTCTCTGTGGTGTTTACAGTTTCTCTGTGGTGTTAACAATAAAAGAAGGTCATTTCCAAAGATGCGTCAAGCACGCATTTTTGGGAATTTCAGTTAGTAGTTGGTTTGAAATTCGGCGAATCTATGAATGAGTGCACGCAAGCGTTGACACGACACACACGCACCTGGTTGCTATTATTCGTCAGTTGAGTGCGTGCATGACATTGCGTAGCTGCAATCGGCTGAATGAGAACGTGTCCCAGATGCTGATTTCGGGGGTAATTCAAATCATGACTCAGCAATTTTGAATTGAAATCGGGATCCTAGAATATTGTTTTTCGGAATATATAGCATTCTCTGAGCTTAAAGTTCATCAGGTTAGTTGTTAAACAACTGTCTGTAGATTTTGTGCACTTTTGTTGCTTCAAACGAACAAAATGCGCAAATTACAAATTATCTACCCTACATTTAAAAAAAAAGTAGTGCTCTATTTCTCTGTCATGTGCCTCTAACAAGTAAAGTTTGTCCTAAAGCCTTATTTTTGCCTTATTTTTCTCCAGATTCTGGTACGAGAACCCAGGTACCTTTGAGCCCGATCAGTTGACGCAGATCAAGCAGATTTCCTTGGCTCGTATCGTCTGCGACAACGCCGATTACCTCCACAATATTCCTGAAGATCTCTTTCACAAGAACGACTACCCGGTTGACTTCAGACAATGCCATGATATTCCATCCATCGACCTCAGAATGTGGGCCGAGTGCCCGGAAGGTAAGACATACTATTTTCTTCTTTAGACAAAGAACGAGGTGTTTTTGTTAGTTATTATGCTCAATTATAAAATCAAGTTCATCCAAAAATGTGGCAAGTTATGTATCTTTTGCGTTCTCAGTTCTTTTCAATTGATAAAATTGTTCTGAATTTATGGCATAAAATTAAAACTTTTTTATTTAATCTAAATCCATGATTGGTAGTGTTCCTTCGAATATCTTTGGAATAGTTTTTTTATCAGAAAATATAGCATTAGGTATTTGGAAGAATGTTTAAAGTATTTTTGCTGTTGATTTTGCAAGTGTCCGACCCCCGCCCTACAAAAAAAAAATTACATTACAATAAAATTAAAAAATTAAAAAATTAAAAAATTAAAAATTAAAAAATTAAAAATCAAAAATTAAAATATTGATAAGTTAATACAAACAATTATTGAAGACAAATCCGGATTTTCATTTTTGCATCTTTTAAAAATCTGTCTATATTCCAGGTATTTCTATATTCATTAATATATGTCGTCGTTTGTGTAAAAAAAATCCTTCAGTGCAAGATTGTTGTGCCATTTTTATGGCCCCAGGGTATGGCAGTTTCCTTGATGTAAATCCTCGTCGTTTATTTTTAGCTGCCGTTGTTATGTCAACGCCAGCCCTAGTTTGTGTATGACCCACACTCAAAAATCATCCTTAGCCCAGTTTGCCAAGACGTCAAATCTTATAATGTCAAGCTTCTGTCCAAGTGACCTAGAATTTGGAAAGTGTTGACAAGTTAAGGCTGTTTGCCAAGAAACAGTGGTTCTTGTGCTTAAGATGCGTGCTCTGTGCTCTTCCCCAAAAGAAATTTCTAATTGAATTTTCAGTGTATTTTAAATTCAAGTTTTGCAGAGAAAGAATTCAATATAAACGTTTGTGGCTTTTTCGTTTGATATCTCATTTAAAATATTTTGCTAGGAAAATGATAAATAGCGATTGAAAAAAAATAATCTTTTTTGGGAGGTGAAACTCAAAAAAGTATAAGGAATCCATCTGTACGAAGCTCAGAAATGCATTGGACCCATCATGAATTCGAAACAGAGCCTGAGCAAGTGACAAGAATTGAAAATTTACAAAACAGATATTTTCCTACATTATTACACTTTTCAACGAAAAACAGCATTTATGAATGGGCATTAAAGACTGATGACTCTATGATTATGCAAATTCTGGATGCACTCCTTAATGCAGTCTTTCTCCAAGAGTAATTATGTGAAGCAGACGACCTACCCAAGAAATAAGCTTGAACTTATTTCTAATGATACCTGAATATAACAAAAAAAACCAAGGTAACAGGGACAGGATAGAAATGCCACACTTTGGACCCTGGATTTATAGAATGACCCACTTAGCAAAAGTACCTTAGTCACTCTATGATTCAGCAAGTTATCAGAGAAATTCACAAAACAGCCTCAACTTAAAAATATTTGTCAAGTATGCTATGAATTGGCCTTGAATGTGCTGCGTTTGATAGTGTGGCCCTCGTTATAATGATATATTTCCCCCGTTCGGTTGTTCATGTGGCTGTTCATGTACCACACCCCGGTGACAGAAATCTCCGCTCGTTCAGAGGGGCGTAATACCTGGGAAAAGTCGCTGGGAAAATGGTCTTATGTTGTAAGAGTTGATTAAAAGATATGGAATAATTATTGTTCATCGATTTTACATTTATGTGTGTTATGAATATCTGAACAAAACAGAAAGGGGTTGGGGTTGTTGCTTAACCCTCCCGATGTTCTAACAGTCACAGACAGTCACAAAAAATCAATCCTCTTCCCCTGCCATGCCTTTTACCCAGGCTAGTCACCAACAGTCAGATCATATTTCAAGCAAGCACTGTGACTAGTCAAATTTAGTCAACAGACAAAGGCAGGCAAGTGGTAGGCACAGCTGGCTTATCAATCACCTACAGTCAAAGCATAGCTGTATCAAGTTACACAAACAGTCACAGCCATTCAATCCTGCTTTATGTAGGCTGGGAGCTCTTAACTGTTGAAAACAGTCACTTGATTGATTTTGACTGAAAGGACAACTTTGCACAGAATGTATGTTTGCATAGGAGGGTTAATGACATTATTGAAAATGTGAGTTAATTATGGCTCGGGAACTGAACCAAAATGTAGAAAACAGAACACAGTCTTATTAAACAATGTCATAATTCTACAATCTAATATTTTGGCCCACTATGCTTAGATAGGTTTCATTTAGTAAGCAGGAATTCACTTCAAGTTATAAATACCTTGTAAACGCTCTCAAGAATAAGTACTAGCAGATTTCGGTCATACTTATATTAGTCAACTCCACATGTTAATTCACTCACAGATACAGCACTTGCCGGAACTATTCAGCGTAGTCCACGTTTCCATGGTGATATAAATTTTCCAGTGTTATTTTTGCTAGAGTCCATATTTCTTTTCAGTGGTGGCTGTGCAATAATAAACATTAGTTTTGTTAATCTTCATTTTCACACTTATTTTGTTCCATAGTTTGTTCATATATAGTCATGCCTGAAATCACTAGAAAATATATCATTGTAAAGTTAGAATTTATTCATATTTTCTTAGAAGTAAAACGAATGAATCATTTGGTAACTTTTATTTTTTGATAATTATTAGTTGTAGTAAAATCACAAGGCATGCTAGTTTTCAGTCAGCAGCTTAACAAGTATATAATCATGGTTTCGGTAAATAATGTTTAATTTCATTAACACATTGTGTGTTATTTTGTTTCAGTTGTTGATTCTAAAACCCATTCATGTAAAGGAGAGGGGTGAAATGGGGGCGGGGATTGCCTTACACCCCTTCATTGGTTGCTTTGGTGCATCAGATTCATTTACTTAACAGCTTTGCATTTTGCAACACCCAAATAAAATAAATGCTTTTTGTGCTTCGTTTACTCTGTGTGAAATGGTACTGGCTTTTATAATACATAAAATAAATGTAAATTTGCTGCTAATAGCAGTCGTTATAGCAGGTATTTTCTGAAGAAGCATAACTTTTTTTCTTAAAGAGAGTATACAACATTTGCAAACATAAAAAAAATACCAAATTATTATAAAATACCTTACTGGACTGTTAGTGAATGACAGTCTAAAGCATCCTGTAAAATCATGGCACCTGGTGTGCTGTCATTTTCAGGAAAAGTGGTATTTTAACTGGCCTGTTTTTTTCAAATACTGGCCACAATTTACCATATATCCAGTCCGCATTTTGTTTGCAATTGATTACACACATGTGATTACATTGGTTCCGTAACCTTACAATTCCCTGACGTCTATAAATTGCTCTGTTTCATCTTAAGTGGGGTCAGGGAACCAGACTAAAGGAACATGATTGTTTTTCTTGGTTTTTCCAGCATTCAAGAACACAAAACTTCAAACATGTCAGTGTAACAATATTTGCTATAAATACTAACCCCCAAATCCATATTTGTGAAAATTACAGCAAAAGCAAATGTTGTATATTTCTTTTAGTATAAAGAAGCACAACTTTTTTCTGAAGTTGATAGCATTCATTTTGGTGGATTTCCACCATAAAATTACAACTGCGGAGAACTCACAACCTGCACAACCCAAGTCAGCTGTGTTCTGCTCACTGCACTTTGCCCTGTGTGGAAATATTCGAAAGTTTTTGCATCAACAATTTCCTAAAAATGTTGTCTTTTTATAAACTGTTGCAAATATTTCTCTCTTTTTTGGGTGTCATATTGGTTTCTTCAAGTTTACAAAGGGAAACTGACTAGCTGCATTATAATATTTTAAAAGTTGAACAAAGAAATTGACTGGAGCAGGGTTTGAACCTTGGACCTCCGGATTGCCGTTCCGGGGCTCTACCAACTGAGCTATCCGGCCCTATAATGGCAGTTCCCCAATTGCTTTGTACAACTTTTACATTATTTTGATATAAGTACCAAGCTTTGGCATTACACATACTGTGCCTGTTCAAGAACAGAACCCTCCATTTTATTTTTAACTTGTGGCCAAACATCAGCCACAATTCCAGTCCTCCCACCAACTAACCATTTCCTGTTTTCAAAAAGTATCTCAAGTCTTTTCTTTTTCTTCGTTTTTCCATCGATACAAACACCTCTGTCGGGTGCTATTAGTATTACAATAAGGTGTGCTTGGAGACATGCTAATTTTAGATTTAAGTCCTCAGGTTATGGTTTTACACACTCAAGGAAAAGGCTTAATTGTCCAGAGATAATTGACAGGAAAAGCTGTCGTTTCATTCAGCGTCAGAGTCAGACACCACGGAAATGCATACACACTCCCCCTCCCAATCTCCGGTAGCCACGCCCCCTCCAGCCCCGGTAAACGTAGGGAGGGTCCCCGAATTGAGGATGTTATGTCATAATAGACGAGCCGGCTTAGTGGCCGATGGGCGGTTATGTGGTTAGATTGTCTAGTTGAGTATGGTTCACCATGACTTCCTGTTTACCGGCTGGTTGGGATTTGATCTCAGTCACGAAAAAAAAAGATCTTATTTGTGGTTTAGTTTCGCCAAGCATAATCGGTATTTCTTAAAATAACCATGGTTTTTCATTATTTAGGCTTGTTAAAAAACAACAAACAAAATTTGTGGAAGGGGGGTTGAAACTTGTATATGTACTTTTTAGATTTTTGTCTTAAGTCTATGGAACATGTTTGTTGTAGTGTGGCCATTTTTTCTTGTGGATATTTTTTTATTCACTTGATTCAAGTTATTGTCCATTCTCACCAGTTTGCATACTGGCCACACCCCCATAACTTTTTGGGGGGGGGGGGTCTCTTTTCTGGCCACTCGTATTAGCCTTTTGACAGAAATCTTATCAATTAATTCAAATCAATTCATTTGAAGCTGCAAGCATGGCTTCTAAATTCATTTGAGTAGGGGAGGGGGTGGGGGAGGGTGTGCAGGGGGGAGTGTGTTTCTGCATTCAATAGGGGAAGTTAAACAATAGAGGACAATAGGGTCCCCAATTCCCGAGAGATCCCCTATTTGGATTTGTGTACAAAACATATGGGAGGTCTTCCTGAAATGAGTTGAAGTACAAACAAAAGAGGGCCAATAGAGGTCTCGGATTGCAGGCAAATGCACACTTGCGTGGAGGTGTGCCGGAGGGGGGGCTGCTCTCAAGTGCCCAATGGCCTTATTTGAGGAAATTTCAGTCTCTGCCAGGGTGGCACCCCCTAAAGAACATCCTGACAAGCTAGGTATCATCTTCAGTCTATATTTGGTCATCTCGGAAACCAATTATACAATTTCTGACCTTCCATCGATTCTGATCCTTTCTGATCCTCGTGATGATTCAGTTCGACACGAGGCGGTCATTTCAATGACCGGATTTCCCTAGTCTGGCCCCACAACTTACTCATAATCAAATATGTTGCAAATAAGTGCCACCCAGCACTAGTGCTGTCCACTTTCGAATAATTTAGTATTCATTTACTCAAAAAATTATTTGACCGAATATTCGGATATTCAAAACTGCCAGCTGCAGCTGCGTGTTGCTCCGGTCAAAAGTTGCATGCAGAGCGCGCCATTTGAAATTTGCGTGCGGCGATCGATATGGAGTGTTTTGCAGTAAGTATTTTATAACTGTCAAGGGCTTTAACCTGCTAAAAGGACACTGAACCGCTGTCGACAAGAAAGTTACCGTTGACAAAAAAAGTGGCACCTGACAATCAAACGCCGCAACTTTATGATCAAGTTCATCACAATCGTGTGTGTGTATGTGCATAATTTGTTTTGTTTTTAAATATTCAAAGCAACAAAAAGCTAGTCGAATATTCAGTTGATGATCGAATATTCGAATACTCGGTATATTCAGGACAGCCATATCTAGAAATCCTGGAAGTTTTGCTGCAAGAAATCTGCTTAAATATTTAGAACCTGAACAAGATTTTACTAAGATCAAAATATCAGGCTTTTTTGTGTGTGTACTTGAACAAAATTCAGCTAAGCTCGAAAAATTGGGTACCAAAGAAAGAGCATTTAAGAATAATTAAAACACTTATCAGACTCAATAAGAATACAAATTTATCAGTGAAAAATCATGTCTACCTCAAGAATGAGCTCCATTTATATAAAGTTTGTTTCACTTTTGAACCAAAACAATTTTGTATATTGCCTTTAAACTCATTCAATGAGAGAGAATTTAGAATGCGTTAAGTCCTTACTTACTTATTTGGGTGCTAACGCTAATAACTAAAGAAAAAATTCTCACAATACGCTTCCCAAAAAATGCATAATGAAGCTTATTTGTAAAGCTTGCATGGTGTACTCACTTACCATAATTTCCATTGGTAGTTTTGTTTGTTGTTATTACTACATGTGTAAGCCACATGCTTCACTTCATATCTGTGTCCTTTAAGTTTTGTAAACAAAATGTTGACTGTCACCTTCTTTCCAGTTCTTTTCAATAACAGCATTATGCTGGTTCCTTTGATTCTTTTAACGATTGTCTTGTGTTAAAGGTATTCTACAACGTTTGCAAACATCAAAAAATAAAACTACCAAAATTATTATGAAAAACCTTACTTGACTGTAAGTGAATAATAGTCTCAAGCATCCTGTGAAATCATAGCACCTGGTGTGCTGTCATTTTCAAGAAAAGTTGAATTTTTGTATCAAAATCCAACGATGGTCAACCGGCCGTTGTTGGAAAAAACACTGAGTTTCTTCAAATACTGCCCTCAATTTACCAAATTTAGTTAGTCCACATTTTGTTTTCAATCGGTTACACATCTGTGAACGGGGCAAGCCAGCTAGTCTGGTTCCCTGATCTGACAATTCCCCGACGTGTATAAATTGCTCCGTTTTTTCTAAAGTAGGGTCAGGGAACCAGACTACAAGAACAGCATTTTATTCTTGGTTTTTCCAGCATCTTTGAACACAAAACTTTAAACAAGTCATTGTAACAATATTTGTTATAAAATAGGTAAAGGTAAAGGGGACGAACCTGTTTTCACAGGAACGGAGTTCCCATCTCTCTTTCATTAGCGATTGGGCCAGACTCATATGCTGCTGTGGGGGGATCGCCACACCTCCTCCACAGCGAGTCTGTTACCTTCCCAGCATTGAATAATGCCGGTACCTACTTAACACCTGGATGGAGAGGAGTAATTGAGGTAAAGCGCCTTACTCAAGGGCACAACACGCATGGCCATGACGGGGCTCGAACCCACAATCTCACGATCATGAATCCTGTGCTCCACCGCTAGACCACACGTGTTATAAAATACCAACCCTCAAATCCATCCATTTCTGAAAAGTTACAACAAAAGCAAACGTTGTATGTTACCTTTAAATAAACATCATGTGTCTGTTATAGGATATTATTTAAAATTGAAGTTACAATAGAAATGTCATATTTTTACTGAAGATTATCTTTTTCCTTCCTTCTTTAGATCTGGTTGTGTCCAGTTTGACAGTTGGTAGCGTGTCCCGATCACGTCGTTCCGTGGACAAGTTTTCTGCTCCTTCACAATGGACCAACACCTCGACCCCAAAACACCACCGTCCAGACAAGAACCGCCACAAATCCTTCATCGCTCCGTCAGGGATGAAAGCATCGGCGACTGAAGAAGAAACGACGACCACAATCCTGGAGGAGCTTGACCTGGATGAGAGGACGACGTATCTGGAAACCGTGGTGATTGATCTACAAGACACCATCCAGACCATGCAATCAACGATCAGTGAAATGTCTAAGCAGGTAAGAATAGCTGCTCAGGTCATCTCTGTTATGTCAAAAAAGCAGCCTTGAAAACATCGTTCTGAGTATTTGTGATGCGATCAAGCTAAATGAGTCGACCCTGGTCAATTTGTTTTATATTACAAATTTGAAAAGAGCACAATCTCAGCACTACTGCTGTGAAAACTGCATGCTGGTACCATCTTTAGTTCAAAAATTATGGAACTTGGAACACCAAGATGTGTGATGAAGTGATGTGATGAAGTGGCCCTATGTTTGCCTGTATCTCCAAATGGAAATTGGAAACCCACTTCCTGGCATGGGTGGCGCTATGCGTAAAGAGCTCGCCTCTCACCACTGTGGCCCAGGTTCGATTCCCGGCACGGAACATACATGAGTATAGTTGTTCGTTGCGTCTCTCCTGTGCCACGAGGATTTTTCTCCGGATTTCTCCAGTTTTCCTCCTCTGCTAAAATTAACACTTTCGATCTCTGGCTGTGCTCTGTGGTCAGACGTTTTCCTATTTGAGATATGATGGGAACAATAGAGGGCGCTGTTCAGTAAGGGTATGTACGAAAGAGTTGACTCAAATCAAACAGCACCCTCTTATTGTATCCGCCAGATCTCAAGTAGGTCAATGGGTCGTATGGTGGCAGCCTGAGGCACCTTTACGTCCCTCAGCTCAGCCACGTTGCATCCGCGTCATTTGCAACTCAGCTTCTGCTGTGAGTGAGGAAACTTTAAAGTGATGTTTCCCGGCACTTATTCAGGGTGGTATTCACTGTCTGTTCTTTGCATTTTATCTTCACTTTTAATTTGTCATTTCTCCTTGTTTCTTGCAGTTGAAATCCCTCCGGAAGGAACGGAAAAAACACCCCAAAAATCGGCATATTTGATGATAAGACGGCAAAACACACGTTCATCACCTGGAGTAATTTTCCTTTTTTTCAGAAACTCGTTCCTATCAAGATAGGAACTTTTACTCTTAAATGTTGTGTATTATCCTACTGCAGGTTTTTATTGTGGTTTAAGTTTGTTTTATTTAAAGAAATAAACAAACTTTGTTTTAAATGTAATTTTAATGATCTAACGAGGGCTCTTATCTATACGCCGGTGGAAAGAATTCTAGTCACAGCTTCGAATTAAACTCATTTTTTGGTCTGAAATGCACTCATTTTTGAAAGTTTGTTGTGATCTTGTTTTAATTTATGATGTTGGAAAATTCTTTTCTGCTTTTTCTGTGGATGTATAGTCAGGGCCCTGGTTATAGACTGCTGGGTGGTGCTACAGTACATAGAGTTTGTATTGTCTTCAATGGGAGACACCTGGGTTTAAGACCGGCAGGTCTCCAAAAGTGTCCATGTATATTGTTTGTCAACAAATTAACTGTTTATTCCAATATATAAAACTGATCATTCTATTAAAGCCCCAAGTTTGAAAGCAAGGGCATTAGTTGCAATTTATCTTTCTCATTCACTTTTGAAATCGGAGATAAATGAAAGATTTAAGATTAAACAATTTCATTTGAGATTTAGCGATGTCCAACTTCATGTAGATTAGTGTGAAAATGTGGAACTAGTTTATTTTAAACGAAGCAAGATACATGGACATTTGCAAGTCACTTTGTACATAATTGTTTTAATTGGTAAGTTTCTGTTCAGCCGCGAAGTTTTTAAGTATCGTTATTTTCTTAAAAACTCTGTCGCTCTGGTAAGCGACTGGAAATTCTCCAACTAACAAGTAAAATCATGAATGGAAGAATGTCTTGCCATGGCAAGGTGAAAAACATTTTTTTGGGGGGGTGGATTTATCTTTTCAAGGGACATTGTTATATATATTATGACAAATGTATGTGTTTATGGTACTAAGGTCGAAAGACCTTATTTGTTTGTTTTACAGCGGTGCTATTTAGGGAATACGCATTTTAATCGCCAAGTTTTTATCATTTCTTTCTTTTAAAATCGGATATGGAGGCTTAATTTGAGTACGAAATGAGATGGTGGATTACACTTCATGACATATATGTTGATTTTAGCATAAACAATAGTTTTATCGTATTTAAAACTAATATTCTATTTAATGTTACAATATAAAGTAGGAGTAGTTTTTAGGAAAGTCTACTTTTTCTTTGTAATGCGAGGGATCGAGATAAAACATATTTATGCTGTCAGTTTCTGATATTCGTTCTCGGTGAAGAAATATTTTTAAATTTTCAAATGGAACTAGGTCAGGGGTCAGAGGGCAAAGTGCATGACCCTAGACTTGTTTCAGTATTCTAAGGAATGACATCCACCCTATTTTTCGTTACAAAACATGGAACTAACACATTTCAGGAAAAGCAGGAATTGCTTCCTTAACACTGACGTTCCAAAATCCTCTTTGCAAAATTGAGGATTCTGCAAGTGTGTGGCTGATTATGGAGGATGCACTGTGTCAAGGTCTTGGGCCGAACCTTGTGTTGTTCATGCTCAGCCGTGCATAATTTTAGGCCTAGATTATACTGGAAATCCTCCGCACTGCTCCAGGATGTCACTGGCTCTGCCTCTACATATTGTCAGTGATTGCTGCAGGATTTTGCAGGATTGAGGCAGTGGTCACCCCTCCAAGTACCACACTCAAATAATGGAGGATTTTGCAGGATTGAGGCTGTATGCAATTTTGGCATAAAGGCAGTCGGAGGATTTTTGAGGATTGAGGTAGCATCCTAGAAAAAATGCCTAGGGAGTTAGGGTTGATGAAACGCTGAATAATAACTGTGTATGAGTATAAAGTATGAAGTGACTGAAAAACAGATGTTGATTTCTGCAAATACTTGTACACTTGAAAAAATACACCTGTTTTTTAATTGATATAAGTCTTACAAATATTTAACATATACAGGAGTCATATTTTTATGGATTTTTCAAGATGAAATCATGGAAGAAGATTAAGGTCACTGTACATCTGATCATTTCAAGTTATTTCTAGTGATAAAAAAAAGATCAAACGAAAGTTGGTAAAAGACGCAAAGTAACGGGGATGGATCTATCGATAAACACTGCCAACGCTTAATATTGTTGTACGGTTATTTATACATGTTCCCTTGTTTGTCAGATTTCCTGAGTATCACCGCTAATATATTTCGTTGACTTTTGGGGGAATTATTGTTATTTTTTTTAGTCACTCTTTGTTTAGATATTGCTTCCTGAATGAAAACAAATTATCGTGCAAAAACAGCTTGGGATATATTGCATTTTAAAAGAAAAACTATTCACTACAAACTAAGGCAAAACTATGTCGTATAAATTTTTGGTCAAATCGTGTCGTGAGCTTTTTAAACAATAGTAACGGTTCAAAACGTTTACTGTACCATAAAAGTAGATAATATTATTTTATTCTCTGTTTTAGTTCTGTACTGGGTTTTCAACCTGTATTTATATATTTCTTTATTTTTTGTTCATTTGTATGAGAAAATGTTACTTTTTACAATTTAGCATCGTTAATGACACTAGGTAATTGTTCTCAATGTAAAGTAGGGATTCGAAGGTTATTTTTGTAGAATTGTCTGGTTAAAATGACTGTGCTTAAATTTGTGTTTTTAAATGAAATTTCACAAAAATATATGCTGCTGGATATCAATGGTCTATTTAATCAAATACTAGCAAATTATTTTGATGAAAACCTCATGAATATGTGTGAAACTGGTTTTACAAGGGCACTTAACTCGGCTATGGCTAGGCATAACACATGGGCTATGGGAAAAGGCTTAAGCCGCTTCAATAGCCGCATGTAGTATCACAAGCGGTAGCCAAATAGTTCATACCGGTGTCATATGTAATTTGGACTTCTATGAAATCTTGTCTCTTTTACTTATTGACTCTCAACCTCACATGTGATAGTCTGAGTATCACCTGTTGTCCGATGGAGCCATCTCTGTCTACGGTCCAACGTCTGATACATCTAAGCATGCAAATTTATGCGGCCCCGCGTGCCAGCCACTCTGAGACGACTTTACAAAAACTGTGACGTCTATTTGATCAGAAATGTGGACTTAGCTGTTGATTGGTCAATTTGGATGCCATGTTTTTGTAATACAAGAACGGGCATAGAGATCTAGTAAAACCTAGACACGACATTGGCTCTCAAAACTGTTAGCAAAATGTGGCGTGTGTAGACGCGAACGCTCATCGTGGACGTGACATGGGTGCACAACAGGGCGTTCGCATTACGCGTGTTATTTAAGTATGTGATGATCTTTCGAAGCACAGGACATTCGCACATCGTGTAACATATCGTTACAGGCTGCGTGATGCAGCGTATTTTTGCTAACACAATTCACGACATAAAAGCATATTAAAAATAGATGTTGTGTCTAGGTATTATTACATGTCTATGACAATGAGTTACTGGAGACCCGATATACAAGGCGCCCGCTGAATGGTCAGAATCTTGAGGTCAAGATGCAGTCTTGTTTTGCATAATTAATCGCCGAATCTGCTCACATATCATAGACCCTTGCAGTGCAAGGGGATATTCCACAGACTACACACATGTGTCACTGTTGTAAATATCTTCACTTCGCAATACAACTAAGGAGTCCGTATTCCACAGAGTCCAAATTTTACCGTTCACAGGCTTAAAAAATATTTGTCAACTCCTAAGGTGGTAATTCTTCGCGCTCAACACAGTGATTTAGAAGATGTCTGATACCTCCAATTTGTCATTTGTGAATTGTTTCTAAGCTTGAGACAGTATTTCTGGAGGTGTTTTAGCTGATAACAATCATGGTGTACAGAGAAAGGAATATTTAACTGTAGGCAATGACTACTTATTTGGTGTTAAAATATTTAAGGAAAGCGTAATTTCTTTTCTTCATTTTTAGGACATGGTCATCAGGCTAATTTGTAGATTTTGTTCACATTGACTGCAATTTCTAATCACAATTGCTGCCAGTCTTCCTGTTTTTGGCTTTTGCAGGAAAGCCTTTGTTTTGTTCGCAATTTTTCAATCCTTTCATGTATTTTAATTTTATTTACTGGGAAATGAATGGACACAAACAGTTGTTTAAAACATTTGTGGGCCTTATTGATACAGCACTGGAAGCAGTCCTCACACTGTGGTGTATTTATTATGCAAATTAAACATTTTCGTCTCTTCTCTTGAATTAGATTTGAATAAATCAAGTGGTGCTTGTAAAGAAATAATATCTGTTGTGACGAAATCGATGTGTATGAAATGTCTACATTTCCCAGGGTTTTTCTTTTCAATTGTTTTTTTTTGTCTACATTTAAGTCCAAAGTCCACAAAACAATAAGAAAGATGACAAAAATCGGAAATTTGGGGAATGTAAATTTAAACACAAAAAAAATAAGGTAAATCCCTTGCAAATTTGAATTTTGAAATATTCTTTTTGAGAATATTCAAATTTTGAATTCTGAAAAGTATAACTATTTTTTTTTGAGAATGTTCATATTTTGCAGAATTTAAATAAAAGGGGACTCAAAAATACGGTCCCTATGTACCTATGCCATTCTAAGTATATTCTACACTAAATTAAATATAACCAAAATTGAGTCAGACCGAAAAATTCTATCCAAATTAAAGTCAATTTTACTTGGAACAAAAACATCGAACTCGTGGGCACTATAACTCAAGAAATACTTAATGTGATGAATTGAAACTGTATTTGTTGATTGGTCGTTATGCCATAAAGAAGCATATTTAATTTCAAAAGAAACTCTTAAACACTAAATTTAATACAACTGATTTGGGACACGACCCTCTGGTTCATATTATCTAGCTCACCCAGTAATTATCGTATTTGGGTCTGCATTCGCTCGTCACACCGATTTGTTTGCGCGGCGGTTTTGTTGCTACGCTACACAATGTAGGTCCATATTATCATTTATAGATAATTGTACGGGCACAGAATTATTAAGCAATTCGTTAGATTGTCTTCGGTCCACATTTATTTCTTTGTAAAGGTTTGTTTATAATTTGAAGGCGATGAATATATAATTGGTGGCGGAATAATTACATAGGCGTTGATGTAATTCGCCCGAGCACAACTTTTCGGCCTCTTCCGTACGTGTGCTCTCTGCGTCACCAAAGTACAACATTTGCTCCCCAACTGCTTCGTTTTGTCGCTGTTTATCTAATTCAATTCCTTATTTCGTTGTTATCAGCCTTTTCCTTGATACATGTAGATAAGTTTCATGTCATTGCCGAGCATGCACTGTAAGTATTATGAATTTTTAAAGGTTTTACCGTATAAATGATTCGCCGAACGTTTTCCGGCATTTTGGATGACGCGTATGGCGGTCAATGTGTGCGCGCGTTGTTTAAGCGCTGTGTACGGCGGTGATGCTGTGTGGGGAAAGAAAGAAAGAATGTAGGGCTGCATGCGTTGTGCATTTTTGATCTCACTACCGAGTATAGGTAGTATAGCCCCTTGTATAAACCATATTATGAATTGTTATTTTCCATTAAAAAAAATTGTGCAATAACCCAAGAAATTCCAAAGAACATCCTTTGCTTGACTTTTTTTTTAAGGGCATTTTACCCAAACACTTTCGACTAAACTTTTCTTTTCTACCAGTACCAGCGGTTTAATACTATACTTTTTTTCAATGGAAATATAATAGGACAGAAAGAACTTAGTGTTTAACTTAAACAACAATCCTGATATTTTGCCTTGCATTTTTCGCGCTTAACACGCTACATTGTTTTGATTATAATATTTTTGTTTATCATTTCTCCCTTAACTCAATAGATTTATGTGACCTATAACGAACAACCATTAGATATAATTTCACTTCAATACAACAAATATTGATTGATTAATCGCCTTCAGCGACTATTAATGGTCGCTTCTAGCGGTCAGTACCGCTACGGGCGACTATTAATGGTCGCCCCCAGTGGTCAGTACCGCTATGGGCGACTGTCGCCCCTAGCGGTGAGCGCGTTAGGCTAT